ACAGAGATTCAGAGGAAGCTTTGGTCACCTGTGCTTGAGAGCAAGGACACTACTGCCTGTTCAGTTTCTTTCTCAAAATAGTTGAGTTCACCTCATTATCCTAGGTAAACACTTTGTTTATCCTGTTTTCCTTTGACTTGCTGCAAGGACAGAGTAAGAAGCAAGCCCACTCACTGCCCGAGGCACTGGGGAGTGCTGGTCAGCAGAGCCCAGCCCAGCTCTGAAAAGCAGAGACAGGAAAACGCATTGGAGCAGGTTCAGAGATGGCAGGAGGAGACCCAGAGTGTTTGGGGGCTGTAGTTTGGCTGGGCTTGCTGAAACCAAAGGTGTTCAGGATGCTCATAAGTGTGCAATTCCAGATACTGAAACTCAGGTGGTAAAAATGTTTCATATTTGTCAATTCACAAAACTCAGCTGGAGCAATAAAAATGCAGATATGTTTATGGTCTGCTAGTGGCAATGCTCAGGAAAGCCAGGGCTTCATTTTTCTGAATTGCCCAAATAGGCAAGTAGCTGTGGGGTTCTTTTCTACCATTGAAGATGCAAAACCCAGTGCAAGAGCATTAAGAATCTCACAAGACTCGATCACTGTGAGGCACAACGAATATTTTCATCTGAATGTAATCTCATGTACACAAGAAATTACAAATGATTCGATTTGTTGTGCCCAATTAAGAAAATATGAGCACCATATACTCAGAAAAGGAGCCTACAGGGTAAGATGAGATTCCTAAACAGCAACCTGCTATCTAGTTGGGGGCCAAGCAGTGCTTTGGGTTCTGTAAAATATGTTTAGTACACAAGTTTCTTCAGTATGGAATTATTTCAGATGGTATTAATTAAAATGGATGATGATTGTGTTGGCACTGTGAGCATTGCCACAAACCAGCTGTGACTGTGTTCTGCTCGCTGCCTTTGTGTCATACACAAATTCATGATAATGTTACTGTCCAAGAACTGTAAGCTATTTGCAGGAATATTTTTTTTTTTCTACTGTAGAGATCCAGTCAATGCTGATAATGTTTGTGTGCACATCTGTATGTGAATTATTTTGTAATCATTCTCTAATAGTGCTGTTACAAGTGATGCACATAAAGGCTCTGTGTACAGCTTGTTAATAGTGTAATTAGGGCTTAGTTTGTATGATTAGCTCCAAAGAAAATAATGTGCATTAATTTTGAAAATACTTGTGCCTTGAATTCACCTATATTTTTATCTATTGTGAAAAAGAACTTGGATTACTCCTCCCAGTTTGTTACCTTTATTATGATTGGTCTTACTGTCCAGACTGTTAATGTCCTCCTAGGAAAAATAAATCTTGCCATTCATTAGTTAGAGGAGTTAAACTTCTTGTTTAGAACATGCCTAGAATGCTTCCATTATTACAGTGCTATGGCAGATTTAATCTAGGAAAATCAGTATTTGTTTTTTTTTTCTATTTTTGTTTCCAGCATGCCTCAGTGACAAAGGACTGAGTTTAGTCTTTGATTTCCTGTCCTTAACATGTACGTTTTCTTGTATTAGTAGCCTCTGTGATATTTCTGAACTCTCTGAAGTCATCAACCTCTTGTTCAAGTTACAGAATATGAAGCAATAATGTGGTGCAGCATGGCAATAAGCAAATCAAGAGATTTGAATGTAATGTACTGTTACTAATTCCATCTGTGTAAATGCTGGACCTGAGTCATTCTCCTTTTGGTGCACCTGAAGCACTTTGGAGTCAGATTCATAGGAACTACTTGGCCATGCAGAGTTTACCTCCTGAACTGTTACTCATATTTTCGCCTGAAATCATATTTTGATTTTCCTTCTTTTGCTGAGGAAAACAGCAGTTTTTATTATTCTTTGCCAGTTCCTTTATTTGCTGAAACACAAAAGCTGTAGTTCCATGGAGAGCTGATCTTGCCCTCAAGAACAGCCTGGTGCAGCACAAACGACATTTGAACAGGAACGCTCAGACCATTTACTGTGTGCCAGAGTCAATGTAACAGATCTCACATATAACATTAAGGTCTTCAGATTGTGCTGACAGTAGAAAAATTATTTTGTAATGTAGCACAATTGCAATAACACCTGTTATATTTAAATATACTTCTTGCATAATTCTTTAAAGTTTTTTAAAGTTCAGTGTATCTAATAAACATTTGCCTTTTGAATAGTTCACTGTGGTTTATTTAGTTTATAAGAAGTTCCAGGGTGGGGCTTTGTGTTACAAGGAGGAAACTCCCTCCTGGTTTTTTTTGGGTGATTTAACTTGTTGAATTCTGCCCCTTGTGCAGTCTCTCTCCTTTGATCTGTTCTCCTGCCCCCAGTCTAGGTGTTTTCCCTGCTCATCTTTCTGTCCTACCGAGGGGAATAAAGACAAGCTGGAGGCTGCACAGAAGAGTAAACTTGAAAACTGGGAAACATAAAAAGCAGGGGGTGGATGTGAAATATTGGCTAGTCCAGTGTATTGTGATGAGAAGAGAACGTGTGGGAGAATGGATTGTAAAAGAAGAGAGAGTGATGCAGGCAATCTCACCCCATTAATGTGCAGCTGGTGTAGGACAGGTGACCATGCAAAGGAAAAGGAGCAGGGAATGCTCATTTTTATACACCAATCACAAAAGAGTGAAAGGGTGTTACAGATTAGGGAGAAGGCTATAAAGGTTGTACTGGGGGGCAATAAAGTGCTGATGCTTGAAACCATTCATGGTGTCAGCCCTGTGTCCTCTGTCATGAATGGACTCGGAAGGCAAAACCAGCATAGGAAATTGGGAAGAGGTATCAAAACATTGGGAAGGTGACTGGCAAAACATGGGTTGGAAAGAATCCTGTAGGTTTGTTCTCCTAAAATGAGAGGCTTGGCCATCTCAAGAGCAGGGGGTAAGGCTGTGGTAGAGCCCTACAGAAAACGTGGCAGGCCAGCAGTGACTGCTGCAGCTCTACAGTGTGGCCAGGCTCGGGTACAGCCACAATGGCTCTTGCTGCAGTGCCAAAAGCAACTTCCAGTCAAGTTCAGTACTTGCAGAAGCTCAGGCTACTGAAGAAAGAAGTATCTGGGAAAAAAAATAAAAAATTAAAGGGAGTCCAGACTGCAAAGCAATGGAAATATTTTTGAGAGCCGGAAAGCCCACCTTAAGATATTTTAAGTCTTAAACACAGACAACTGGTGGCAGTATTTAACAACAGCTTCTTCCCCTTTCCATTAAGCAGAAATAAAGGAAGAAAATAAAATTGAGCTACATTACAGTCATTTCTAGTGAGCAGGATAGTAATTTAAGAACAGTCTCTGTCAATCTGCCATACTTCAAATCTGTTGCTTGGCAGAAAGAAAGGCTAATAGTGTCAGAAAGGATAGGAGTGATCCTGAAATGAGAGGAGGACTTTGACGGCTAAGCTTTGAACATTCAGCATAGACTTGCTAATCAGTGGCCTCATAAATAAGTTTGCAAATCCATGAGTGAGCAGGATGTTAATTTGTGCTGGTTCAGGGCTCACTGCATGAAGCATGAGACTGCCACAGACCATGGTGTTAATGCCATTAGCTGCACCTGACAGAGGTATTGCAGCCTGGCCAGAACCAAACCCAAACCATGGCATTAACTGCACTCATTTGTACTGGTTTAACTCTGATTGGAGAGTATGAAGTATGATGAGCACTAAGTATGGTGAAAGGTTTTTTTTTGAAGTCTATCTAAGGGTAGGCCAGGGCTCATATCCTGGCCCATGCTGTGCACTCCTGCTGTCCTGCACTTCAATCAGCCCAGGACTCCTTTCTCTTGGGTGTTTTCTTCTGCTAATCATAGAATCACAGAATCCGTTAGGCTGAAAAGACCTCAGAGATCGACTCCAGCCTATGACTGAACATCACCTTGACAACTAGATCACAGCACTAAGTGCCACATTCAGTCTTTTCTTAAATACCTCCAGGGAAGGGACTCCACCGGCTCCCCGGGCAGCCCATTATAATGCCAATCACCCTTTCTGTATAGAATTTCTTCCTAATGTCCAATCTGGCCCTCCCCTGGCGCGGCTTAAGGCGATGTCCTGTCATCCTACCCCTAGTTCCCAGAGAGCAGGGCCGGCCCCTGCCTGGCTACCTCGTAGAGAGTGGTAATGTCCCCCTGAGCCTCCTTTTCTCCAGGCTAAACAGCCCAGCTCCCTCAGCCGCTCCTCAGGACTCGTGCTGCTGCCCCTTCCCCAGCTCCGCTGCCATTCTCTGGACACACTGCAGCACCTCCATCATCCTTTCATGAAATATCTTCACATTAAAGTCTTCCTCAGATCTTTTCACACGTTAAAACAGGTTGTTCCAGGCAGCAAGTCAGGATCAAATCACTGCATTCGTCTCTCCATACAGGAACCCAACCGCGTCGCCCATCTCGGTTTCTCCGCTGCCGCGGGCGAGCGCCACCCGTGCCCGCAGCCTCTGCTCGCTCGCCTCCGTGCCCGGCCCGGCCCGGCCGCTCCGCCCTGAGGCGGCCCCTGCCCCCGCCGTGCCCGGCCCCTCCGGCCTCTGCGGGCCGTGAGGCGGCACCTGCCCGCAGCCGCCCCGCCCCCCGAGCGCTGCCCGCCTGCGCGGGCCCGCCCCGGCCGTGACGGGCAGCGCTCGGCCCTGCGCTCATGGCGGTGGCGGCGGCGGCGGGACAGCCCGGCGGGGGCCGGCTCTGAGCGCCCCGGGCAGCGCGGCTGGCGGGGGTGGCCGGTGCAGGCGGCGGGGCCGGGCCGGGCCGGGCGGCGGAGCGCGGTGAGCGGCGGGGCGGGCGGAGCGCGGGGAAGGAGCGCGGCCGCGGCGGCGGCTTTGTGTGCGCGGCGGGGGAGGGGAGCGGCGGCGCCGCACGTGGGACCGGCCGCGGGCAGCGCTCCGCCCTCCGCTCCCGGGGCGGCGCCGACACCGGCACCGCCGACACCGCCCTCCGCGGCGGCCTCCGCGCCGCCTCACGCCGGCGGGTCGAGTCCCGCGGTGCTCCCGCCTCGGGGGTGTCGCTGCCCCCTCACGGGCAGGGTCGTGGCTCGGGTTGAACGGATCTGGGCGAGGGACAGCCGGTGTGTGACCCCGCAGCGGGGACCCCGGGCTGGTGCCGAGGCACCTGGGCCCGTCCGCCGGCCCCGCGCACCTGGGGCGCCCAGCATTCCCCCTCCCACCGGCTCCTGTGTGCAGCGAGTCCCGCTCACCTGGTGTCGCACGCCGGAGCACGGGTGGCATCCCGAGCATCGCTCACGGGGCTCTTTGGCAGCCCTTTGCCGGGGGAACACAGGGGCTTCACCACTGCGGCTCCGCTGGGGCTGTGGGCACCCGGGCTCTGGTGAGCCACAGGCGTTTGAAGCTGGGCTGTGCAGAACAGAAGCAGCTCTCACCTGTGAATCTGTGTGATGATCACTCCCCCCCAGTAGAGAGATGCCCCTGCTCTTTTGGGGGCTGCAGCATAGGCCTGCCCGTGGGGACAGACAGCCTGGCCAGAAGGTCACTGTGGAAAACATTAATGCTTTTATTTTTCCTCTCAGTGGAGTAGAGAACATGTCTGGGATCAAGAGAGTGATCGCAGAGAAGGACCCCGACTATGAGGAGATCACCATCACCCATCCCAACAAGCGGCACAAGGCAGCCGAGCAGTCAGGTAGGAGTTGTGGAATTGGAAATTCTGTGGATGTGCTTGCTGTCTATAAACTGGTCAGGAAAAGGCTGGGGTTGGAGTTAGGGGTAAAGGGCAGACGTTGAGCGAGGCAGGTAGTGATACCTCTGTGCAGCCAAATGAGGATGTATCTTATGTGGACTCATCCCTACCTGCTATCTGGACCGTAAGTAAGGTGTGAGGATGCAGCCTTTGGTGCATGATAGGAGATGGAGCACAAGCTCTCCACGGCCCCAACACTTTGGTTCCTGTTGCTTCCTAAAGTATTTATAGTCCATCCTCCTGTGCTGAGTTGTGCTCCAGCCTGTGCATTTTTTCTGTGGCTGAAGTCTGCTCTGGGAAAGATTGGCAGATTGTTTACATTTTGGGGGATAGAGGTCACAGTACAGCATGGGGAGGAGAAAAACAATCCATGACTCTGCAGGGTGAAAGAGATGCACAACCCTGCAGTACCTGCACTGGCTGTTGGAAGATGACAAATGTTTGCAAGAGCTGGCAGTTGAAGCAGAAAGGAGCTTCTTTGATGAAGTGTAGAAAGGATAATTTAGGGAGAAGGAAGGGGCTTTGAAACATGCAAGAGAGGAGGAAGGGGAGCACGACTGAAGGAAAGGTGGATAAAGAAGTGTGGTGGAGCAAGTAGCTGGATGAGTAGGTTTGCATTTGGCAGGCTTGGATATGCTTGTTTTGGGAACCAGCCTGTTGGCAGAGTGCCTGGGACAGGTTGCAGTCTCTCTGGGCAAATGAGAGTAGAGCTGCTTGCCCCGGGGGCAGGGAGTAGGCTAGTGATTTTTGGCATAGCACAGCTAGTGAGAGAGGATCGTGATGGGATAAGAGCTGACAAACACGGAGGTGGGAAAACTGAGGCTGGCTGTGGGCTCTGAAAAAGATCCAGGAATAGAGCTGGAGCTGCCAGTTGGAGAGGGACAGAGGATGGCTTCGTGGGTGATGTTTTGGAGGATGCTGTACAGCTGGACAAGTCTGAGGAGGCTGAACTCTGGGTTAAATGTGTTGCTGGGCATGTCCTGACTGCCACGTGGGGCAGGGACCCTGCCAGTGGAGGTCCTGTGCAGCTGTGCTGGAGCTGGCTGTGTCACCACTCCCAGCTGCCTGCCCTGCCTGGCTGCCAGGAGTCACCACCCTCTGTTCTGGTGTGTCCCAGGGACTGCAGGCAGGGTTTTAATATGCTTCTGAAGCAGCTTTTCAGAAGGTCTTGATGATGAGCAGGCAGAGTCTTAGGGCCTTGGAAAACTGTCCTTGCCAAAGTGAACTTTGCTTTCAGGAGAGTCCTCCAAATTGGCTTCTTCTTTTCATGGAAGATCTCCAGCTTTCAATACTAGAATTCCTTAAGTACACAAATTTCACTAACATGATCTTAATGAGGGACTGTGGTTGACACTAAGCTGGGAAAAAAATTAATATAAAGTGTTCTTAAAAGCCTCTGTAATATAACCACAAATCCTAAAGTTCTTAAATCATCATGATGCTGCTGTGGCATGGCATCAGCCTTGGAAAGAGATGCAATTGTCCCTCTCTGAACCATACCTCTCATGCCTTATTCTGTTTAGGTTTATTTTAAGTTTATAGACTTACATGAGAATTTTCTCATCATGGTGTTCATGGCTGGAGGTAAATTACATCCCTCTGGTTTTTAATGTTGCCTTACTCATACAGATTCAACCATAATTGTGTTTTAATGTAGGCTTGAACTATTTCTGGTCCTAAAATATAAATATATATACACAAACATATATATATATGTATATATGTGTGTGTGTATATATATATATATATTTGTAAGTGGAAAGAAGGAAATATATTTAGGATACTCCTGTTGCATATAGAGGCATCAGTTGCCTCACTGCTGTTGTAGGTACCAGACAGTGAAATTATCTGTGCTATCTGGAAGATGCCAGCAAAGCTTTAACTTGCTTTTCTTTCCCTTCTCTGTGGTGATATTAGAAACCTCTTCAAATAGATATGTACTTTTTAGGAACACATATGCTTCCTCTAAAGCTCAAGCCAAAGTCTTGGTGCTGTTACCTCCTATTTCATGTAGAGACAATATGAGATTTTTCCAGGGAAAACCAGACTCTTCTGCTGATCTGCTTTACAGTGGGGTCAGTCTATTACTGACACAGGCTGGAGCACATTTTCCAGGATCGCTTATAGAAGTGTAATTCCTGTTTTGCCACGTTCTGACTTAGAATTTTCTAAAAAGAGAAGTTGTTTGAAACCCCTTGATTTAATGGAGGTGACTTAAATGAAGGGCAATATTAAAGTCTACAGTAGGTGTAGAGCAAAAAGAATAGTTCTTATGTCCTAGAAAAATATGATAATATGCCAATTCCATTCTTAGCCACTAATTTGCTGTAAGGTATTTGCACAGTTTGAAATACTAAACAACATACTTCCCACCAAGGTCAGTAAACTCCTGCTGAAAGCCTAAATTTTTTTGACTGCTGTGCTGGAAGAGGATTTTGTAAGAGGTAGACCAGCTTTTGATAATGTAGTTTCCTTTGTGAGTAATAAACAGCTTGTAGGCACTCCAGAGCAGGCTGCTCTTCATGCCAGGGCTGTATAAATATGAGTTTGCTTTATTCTTGCTGCGTGAGGTGGTGTAAATTTCCTGGATGTGGATCTGGCCAAGGAGAGCAGAAAAATGTCCGTGGTGTTCCAGCTCACTCCAGCACAATCGCAGCAGTGATTGTGCTGGGCCGGCACCGTGGAGTTTTACTGTTTACAGCTTTACTGAGGGAGAAGTAAACAAACTGGCCTTGTTCTTCCCATTTTCTGTTATTTGTCATCTCAGACCGAAAAAGGAAAAAGTAGCTCTCCACATATGCCAGATTTTAAAGATACATGTGGTTTTTGTTAAGACATAACTTTTTTTTGGAGGAAAATGATCCATCCCTGTACGTGTGTGTGCTGAACTTATTATCCCTTCACTTCTCACTCTGTAGTGATTTCAGACCTTTCTGTATTCAAATAGATCCTCAGAAACAGAAATGTAAATACTTCCTCCTTTATTTTCCATTTGTGGCCTTGTACAGCTCGAGATGTTACTGTGCAGAAGATCGAGACCATTATAAAGGAACAGTTTGCCGTTGAAATGAAGAGTAAAGAACATGAAATTGAAGTTATAGATCAGGTATGAAGGTTTTGTTCTTACAAATACCTAAGGTCTTGGTTTTTGGGGTGTGGGGGATTGCTGCAGTACTTACCATTGCTCTGTGTTTCCTTTCTGCAGCGCCTGATTGAAGCCAGGAGGATGATGGACAAGCTGCGTGCCTGCATTGTGGCTAACTATTATGCTTCTGCTGGTCTCCTCAAAGCTGGAGAGGTAAAAACTGCTTTAGTAATAACAAGACTTCAGAGAATCTTTACAAAGGAAGGTGTGGAGTTCAGTGGCTGTTCAGCTGATGTTTGGTGTTAAGATGTGATTTAATGAAATAGTTGAATGCAAACTGCAGGTGGGGTGACAGTGGGAGAGGAGACCTTTGAATCATCTGCTGGGCCTCAGGTACTCAGCAAAGAGGAGTCTTCAAGAAGCAGTTGTGAAGTTGTTCAGCAGCCCCTGGTTCTGGTTTATGAAATACTCTGCATTTTTTTTTCATCCTCAGTTTTTCCCTGAGAGTGTCTTGTTTCTCAGACACTGCACAGTTTGTCTGTGCAAAGCCTTGAAAAGTGTGGAATATGTTTTCTCATTTCACAGGAGGAGAGTGGCAAGAGATGTGTTTGGGGACCTTTCAGGAAAAAAGAAAAATAATAAAGATTTCAGGATTTACTCAGTCTCAGGCAGTGCTGTGAAACCATCTTCCCTTTGCCCTGGCAGTCAGTCTGTTAATGGGTTGGTGAACAGACTGGTGGCAGGAGTAAAGCAGGAGATAAATCAAGGAGATATCACAGAGTGATTAAAAATTCACAAGATTAAAAAACCTCAAAGCCTGTTAGTTAAACCCCAGTTCTGAGCACTCTGCCCTTAATGACTGCTAATTGCAGGGTGTTCATTACTAGTGCAGACTCCCAAATGGCATGTAGTTCATTACCAGTGTAGGCATTTTGTTACCATCTTTTCAATTCAAGTTGATCTGATTTCCAGTGATTTTTGGAAGCTGTAGATGAGTGCTGCAAACACGTTTCACTCTAGTCCCATAAGAATTTCTCTTCCAAGCACTTGATCTTAATGCTACTCCTGGTTTTCCTGTTGCGCTTTTCAGGGGATTTTGAGTGAGGTAAAAACAAAAAGGTTCAGTTTGTTTTTCCCTCACTGAACTGGAGTTGAGCAGCTGGAGTTGGAAAAGGTTGTGGTAGCCTTGGGAGGCTTGGAGATCTCTCTGCCCCTTTTGATTTTTGTGTAGGCAGCTGAAGAATGTGACCTAAGTTCTAATCTTTGTAAGTGCCTTTATCCATTGTCATCATGTGTCTGCAGGAGCTGTACTGTTCCTTGTTCTTTTTGTTCTCAAGAACACCCTCATTCAGGGTGTTTGCTTTTTTTCCCTGGTGATTTTCACACTTTCCAGAAATAATTTATTTTGTAATTGTTTTGAGGTATTCACAAAACTTACTGGTGCCTTATTTAGTTTTCCAGTCATTTTTTCTGAGTTTATGGCTAATCTAGCCATAAACTCAGAAAACTAGCAATGTATCTTTGATTACATTTTTATTTTTTTTCTAAAAGTCCCAATTCACACACAGATTAAATCAGTTTGGTTTTTTTTAAGTTGTTGTAGATTTCAGTTTTCTTTGTTGTCTGTTTTTAATTGTGGCTTATGTATGTTTGACCAGGCAGTGAAAGATTGTCTTGTTTCTGCTTCTGGTAGAAGAGGAGTCTTTGTAGTTTAATTTAGAACTTCTGGGAAGATGATTTGCAAGTTCCTGACCTGTTCTCATAAATATGAACAATTCTCAAACCCAATGCTGCTGAGTTTTGCGGCTTGCAATTCCTCATTATTGTGCTTTATTGCGTTTTCCCACAAATTATTGGATGAGATGTTGGTCATTTTACTTGACTGGAGATAAAACAAAAGGAGATGTTCTTGGTGTGGGTTTGGTTTGGGCTTTGGGTTTTTTTGGACAGGTTGTGTGTGTGTGTGTCTTCCCTTGGATAAATAGCTATAAAATAAGCCATTAATAAAAATATTATTATTAATAAATGGCTATTGTAATACTACTAATAAATATCAATATATTTAATTTTATTTTATTATTAAACTTAATAATAGTATTAATGATATTATTAATAAATGGCTATCTCCCAAGCTGGTAAGTGAGAGTTGGTAACTGCTCTGCTTGTGCATGTAATGGACAGTTGGAAAGGAAGTTCTGGAATGGTCTCCTTTAGAGGCCAAGGTGGGACAATGTTTATAACTCCACTCTTGCTACCACCTCTCAAGGGCAGTTCTGCTGCTCTGTAATGATGCTGGTGTCTGCCTCCCTCCCAGTCATGTTGGCAGAGTCCTGAATCAGGGAATTTAATGTGGATTAAAAATAAAACTGCAAAGGGAAAAAAGCAAACAAAAACAGTACCAAAACAAACAAAGCAGCAAATAAATCCCAAGTCAGTTTCTTGAGTTGTTTTCCTTTGTGACCAGCTTGGCTGATGGGGTGGTTTGGACAGGGAAGAAGACGTCTCTGTGAGCTGGTGCTGTCTGTGGCAGTCTGGTGTGAGTCTGTGGCTGTAGGAGCTGCAGGGAGGCTGTCAGTGCTCTGCTGCTGCACAGGGTGTTCCTGCTGACTTGGTTCATCCTCAGACCCAGATAACAGGGAGGTCTTGTGCCTGGGTCAAGAAGCGGCCAGGGGACACTTGTTTTGTGTTGATGGATGTTTTCCTTCTACTTCTGAGGTAAAAAGCAAATGCAAGAGAAAAGGAGGGGCACTTGTCATGGTAATGAAAAAAAACAAGAGAGATTTAAACACTTGCCTGCCCTGTCCTCCCCCTTGCAGGTTTAGGAGGATCTAAGATTATCTCCAAGATGTCTGTTTTGAGGAAAGTTTGCAAGCATGCCTAAGCACATTATTACTTATCCCCTGTTAAGCTTTGGGAGCAGACAGGGTGTAGCTTGCCTCATAGGTGTTGACAAGGCTGCCAATGGGTATCAAAGCTGAAGAGCCTGATGCACTTTCCTACCCTGCTTGCCTGCAGAAGCTGGGCAGCTGTGGCCTTCCTGTGTGTGGTGAGACTGGAGCTGTCTGCACAGGAAGAGAAGAGGTTATTTTCAAAGGGACGTTTTAGGTAGCTGAGTAGGCTGCAGTTCTCCCTTCCAAAACCTGATGGGTTTGTGAGATCAAAAGGTGTGAAGGAACAGATTCAGTTTGGGGTACTGCTTCTGTAGAACCATTTTAAGCTTTTATCTTCTGCAGCATCTGTTTTTCCTGCAGGGCAGCTGATTAAATATTTGCTTTTTCTTCATTCATTGACTTTTTCGCTTCTGGCACAGCTTTGTTTTTATCTGGGCTGTGGGGAAACAGTGACCAGATCTTCCTGGGGAAATACTGACCAGATCTTCCTGACCTCTTCGTTGCAGGGGACCAGGTCGTGCGACACAACAATTCTTAATCACCCTTCAATCAAGAAATTCTTGGAATCTCCCTCTAGATCATCGTCTCCAGCTAACCAGGGCTCAGACACTCCCTCTGCCAACCACTCCGAGAGCGACTCTCTCTCTCAGCACAATGACTTTCTCCTGGACAAGGACAATAGCAACTTGGACGCCGACGAGCGGCTGACAAACAGCCTGGACCAGAGACAGAGCAGAAATGCTGGCCGGGTAAAGTAAAACTCGAGTGGTGATCAAGTTGTTGGAGGTGTGTGCTCTGAGGACTCGGTGCTGGCACCAGGAGCTCTTCATGTTTTCACCCACCTTGCTGAAGATGTGTTTCTTACCCTCTCCAACCGCTTGCTCCCACTCCCTCAGCCTGGCTTTGCTGTAAGGCTAACTGAAGTGTCTGTAACGTGGGTACCTCCTCTTACCTCAGTCCTGCCCAAAGTGAGCTCAGCAGGCCAGGGAGAGCTGTGGGGTCAGCACAGCTCTGCCACCCTCTTGGTTGTACCCTCAGGGGAAGGAGGTGTGCTTCACAACCTGAGCTTGGGCTTTGCTGTACAGGTGGAAGTCAGGTCAGGAGGGGAGAGCCACTTGTGTCATTCCCAGCGGTGTTTTCAGGAGGTAATGCTGCTGCCTGAGTGCCCATGGAGACTGCATTGCTTAGAACAGTTGATCCACTGGAGGGGTTTGGCCTCCTCAGCAGCCTGTAGTGCAAAGTGTAACAGGATTAGCTCACCCTGGTGAGTTGGTAGAGCCTGGGTGTACAGCTTAGGACCGTATAGGAGAGAATTATTTTTCTCTTGATGGTGCTGCTTGATGTTGTGCATTACCACCATTTGCTTAACTGAGCCAGTCTGACCCAAATAAAAATATGTTCTGTCAGTGTTCCCACAAGCTTTTTGGGGGGGTTATTTTTGACCTGGATTCAGTCCCTCTCTTTGTGGCTCACTGCAGCCACACAAATGCTTCACCTGTTAGCTGCAGGTGGCTCCACTGGGGAGGCTCACTCAGTGTCTGCAGGTGAAATGTGAAATGAGGTGAAACTCTTCACTTTCCTTTCAGTTCCTTTAAGTGGTCAGGCCTGCCAGAGGAGTTCAGCCAGGGGTGGTTATATCTCAGTGAATATGGCTGCATTCTGCAGCTGAATAAATTGCTTTAATACATGGCGGAAAGAGCAGTGATTCTGCCTCCATTAAGCAGCGTGACACCCTTGGTAGCAGGGCTGCAGTTTGCTGGAACTCTGCCTTGGGTCTGTAGCAGAAGGCAGGTGAGCCTACAGAATGTGGATCTACCTATATTTTAAACCACCAGACCAGTAGAACTTGTTTCTGTGCTGGGGGCATAGATGGATGGAGCAGTTGTATTGCTTGGGGAGAGCACATTGGTACATCGTTGACCAGTGCATAGGAGGCTGAGGGAGTGATGAACAGCAGGAGCCATCCCAGCCTTCTGTGACTCCTCATTCCACTTTGAGAATTCCTCCTGCTGCAGAGGAGGAATGGGTCCTCAGTGCTTCCCACGCTGACCCTCTGGCAAGTGCCCAGTGGAGAGCACGCACTGGGCTGCTCTGTGCTCCCTCGCTCTCCAGCCAGAGACTTCATCCAGCAGGGTTGTAGAAAAACCTCTCAGTCCCATGCTAACAACACTTCTATTTGTGTTTACATAGTGGGTGGTCAGATCATTGTACTGGGAGTCTTGGCCACTGTTTAATAGCTGGGGTTATGTTACAGGGTGGCTGGATTTATTGTGCCGAGGTATGGCCATGGACGTGTGGGTTTACCTGGATGGCAGTGACAGGTTATGGCTGCTCTCCCTGCTCAGCTGGAGCTGAATTCCTGTCTCAAACCCAGCCTCCACTCTTCACTATGAGGCAACACCAGAGTACTCAGAGCAGCAGAGGCTGGGAATGAGGAAGATTTAGATTTTCAGACCCCTTTCATGGGTGACTGAGCTTTGTTGCTGGCTGGTGTCCAACACAATGCCATTCTAGCCATGCCAGGTTTTATTTCAGGTAGTGCAGGGGCAGTGCTTTTAGAACCCAGGCTGAAGCCGTGGGTCAGCGCCGTGGGATGTTGCACCATGTCTGCTCAGTGAAGCCATGCAGAGAGGATAGCATTGTTACATGCTTGAGTTGCTTAAATGTGCCTAGAGAGCAATTTAAGTATTTTTAGGGATGATTCCTTGTTGATCTTTCATTTATGCAGGTTTTTGCTTGTTTTTTTTTTTAACAACACCTTACTTTTCTAGCACCAAACAAAATGATGTTTAAGAGGAATGTTTGGGTTTTTGTTTGCCTTTTTTTTCTTCCCCTACTCTCAGGACAGTTCGGGTGTTTCAAGCTCTCAAAAACCAGGACAACGAAATGCCGGACTGTCAAATGATGAAACTTCACGACTTTATGTGAAGAAAACGATTGTGGTTGGCAACGTCTCCAAGTTAGTATCCAGAGCCTGAGGGATGGTCCTTTATTTCAGGATTAAATTGAATAGAAAGTTACAATTAGGAGACAAATGAAATTGCTAGGCTGTCACAATATGAGCTGTTACTCTTGAATAATCACTGTACCCAAGGCAGCCCTCCTCTGGTCTCAGCACGAGTATTTTTTTGTGGAAGGAACAGGTGTTTTAGTAGTTATTTTATTTATAAATTTATATGTGTACAGAGGTTTTAAGATCCCTTTCTCTCACAGGAAGTCTTTCAGCCTTTTTTGATCAGGTAAAAGTCAGAAGTTTTCCCCAGGAAATCTGGAAAAGCAAGTTGTTCTGAGTATGTTGGCTAATTGAATTAGTTGGCTAATTCAGTGTGTCCATGGGTACAGTGTGGGGGTTTTTTAAACAAGAAAAACCCCAAGAGAACAATGCACCACCAACCACAATGAGGAAAATCGTGCAAGTTCAGAATAGTCTAAATAAATTATTTTATACAGTTTCTATTTGTATTTGAAAGAAGACAGGGAAATATGTATAACTTTAGATCTTCAAGGAAATTAGTGTGGAAAGGCATCAGTTTTAGGAAATTGGACAATTCCAGGTTTTAACTCTCCAGCCCTGCTCTACTCCAGTCAGTCTTTTGCACAGAATATATCAGACAACTGCTGGCAAAACTTAGAGTCAGAATTGCTTCTTGAAAATCTACCTAGGCCTGGACCCAGAACTAAGTATTGACTGAAGTTGCGTAAAAAATTATAAGAAGAATTGTATTTTTTTGTACTTATGGTAGCAGAGCTGTTGATGTTGTGTTCTGATGTGGTTTTGCTTCCTGATTGCTCAGAATAGGACGGGATAAGGAATTTGACAGTGGTAGAATGTTAAAATTAAGTCTTCTTAATTAAGAGCCAAATGTTTAAATGGGTGAATGTCATATGACAGTTGTGTATTAAAACAGAGGAAATGTGTTAGAAACTTGGAGTAGATTATGGGACCTGTATGTGTTCCTGGATGAACTATCAGAATAAGGACAAATGAGCAGAAATGTACAGGGGCAAGATTCCCAGAGGCATTCTAACATCCCCAATGTTTTTTGCCTAATCTTTCCAGAAATACTTTTTGCAGTATTTGTCTGTTTGGGATTTTTATCTTGTGTTTGTTATTTAATTTCTTTGCCAGGTACATTCCCCCTGACAAGAGAGAAGAAAATGATCAGTCAACCCATAAATGGATGGTGTATGTCCGAGGCTCTCGGAGAGAACCCAGCATAAATCATTTTGTCAAGAAAGTTTGGTTCTTCCTCCACCCCAGTTACAAACCTAATGACCTGGTAGAAGTGAGGTAATAAGGAATTATTCCAGTCACTCTTGCAGTCTTCATGTTGGCCAGGTTTACAGTGCCAAGTTTCTTAGAAAATTAACGACTTCTTTTCCTGGTTTAATACTCCATGTGTGTATTTAACCTCTGGCTTAACTTGGCTTACTCCAAAATAGTAGTAAAAATAAATGAGGTTTTTTATGTAGCAAATGTGCCAAACAGGTTTGTTGGCTTGGTTTTTTGTTTTTTTTTTAAATTCTTTCTGAGAAAAAGCATTCAGTTGTTGCATTTCATGCTGTTCATGTGTTATAAACACTGTCTGCTGCTCAGGGTAGGCTGCTGGTGCAAAACAAGGTGTTTTCTACCACCCATCTATTCCAGTGTGGAAAAGAAAGAGGAATCTCCAAAAGCTGATTTGCCCACATGCGCGTTTGGGCATGAATATCCCACTCCAAAATATTTCTCCATGGTGTAAGATCAGTGGCATTGGCCTGATGCTTTGAGGACTTTCCCATCAGTGTAATGGTGCTGGTGCTACATAAAGAGGGCAGCTTCCCTGTGTTCTCCCACACCTGTTTTCCAAGCTGTGACCCTGGTGGGGGTTAGGTTCTCTCTTGACTGCTGCAGGGAAGTGCCCTGTCAGTCTCTCATCCTTCTTCCTTGGACAAGACTGAGGGAGGATGCCTTTGAAATAGTTGGAGTCTTTCCAAAGAAGTTATTCTCCACAGGATGCTCAGCTGCCTCCTAGAGAGAGGAGTCTGGGAAGGGCTGCTTAGGTGCAGAATGGCAACTTAATTCTGGCAAAATTAAACCACTGAAAGGCAACTCCAGGAAGATGTACCTGAGATAAGAAGTGTTGGTATAGCTCAGCATAGACAACCCTGAGCAGGACAAAAGCAAACTTTGTTGTATTTCTTTGTAACATACCAAATTACATTTGATTGTTGTCTTCTTGTGCCTTTCTCAGCACAGTTGTCAGTGCTGGTTATCTTCTGTTTTAATCCCATCTGGTTAATAGATTCCTGGTGTTACAGTCCCATTCATTGTAGTGAACATTAATGTTCTGGACTAAAAATTGCCTTTAAACCTCTTTGTTTTTTTTTCTTTTGAAGAAACCATATTTGCATTTGCAATAACAAGCTGAAATACAGAGTAAATGTTATAGATCCTTCTTTCTCAGCTTGGAGAATGACAGTGATTAACTTTTCCTTGTTGTCCCTATGTTGTTCTGTTGGTGTTATATGAAGCGTGTGCCTTTTTGCTACTAGATAAGGAGCAGCAGGCAGTGATTGCAAAATGCTGCACGGGAAGCTCACCTTGCAGTGAGCTGACTTGAGTTTTTTTAACCAAGTGTTTTTCATCTGACATAGCACAGCCCTTTTTTTGTCTTCTTTTTAAAACTACCACACTTGTTTCCCACATGTCTCATCCAACAGTGTTTTACCATTTTCTTCCTTGTCCCCTTGTGTAAAGTTAAAGTGTATTTTCAGCTGTCCAAAGCCAAAATTCTCGTTGCTGGGATTACACTCTCTCTGTGGTGAATAGCAGACCAGAAGATAGCTTTAGTTGCCAGCTAGAAAAACAATCTTTGGCTTTCTGAAAAGGAGGGAGGTGAAAGCTGTACTGCTTCTGCATCAAAAAATGTAACCACCATTTGTTTCCAGAGAACCTCCGTTTCACCTGACCAGGAGAGGCTGGGGAGAATTCCCAGTGAGAGTGCAGATACACTTCAAGGATAGCCAGAACAAAAGGATTGATATCATACACAATTTGAAGGTATTTGAACAAAATACTTTGGAGAAAGGCATTTAAATGAGCTCTCTTGCACAATCTAGAAGAGGCTCTGCTTGTGTATATGCTTTTGCCTCTGTGTTATGAGTGTCCTGGTGGTTATTTTCACAGGAATAGTTGGGTTGGAGAATTAAAATAGATCCAGGAAAGGCTCTTACCTTGGCTATACAGAGTTGCTGCAGTAGCGGGGAAGCACAGCTTTGCAGCAGCTGGAGCTGAGTGTGCTCAGAGCAGCAGTGTTTACCTGGCTTTTCCCTACAATTTGAGATTTTTGTCATGTTTTCACTGGCTTTAACCTAACAGGGTGCTTCAGGGCTGTCTTTCTGCTGGTAAAGTGGCTGCCATGTCTGCTCCTTCAGCACAGGCACATACCAGCTAATGATTATCTTTGTTGTTAGAGTGGGCAGGGGGGGCTGAGATATCCTATTCCCTTTGAAGAGAGCTCCCTTTTCCAACTCATTCACCCCTGCAGCACTCAGGATTTCTAGGATGCAGCAGTCCTGGAAAACTAGGCCATTGCTCATTTTCCTTTTAATGAGTAGTCCCTGGCATTAGTGGACTTAAGTCCTGAGCTGGGTTAGTCTCCTGTTTCTTTGAGCAGCATTAATTTTATTTGAACTCTGCCTGCATTAATGAATTGCTAAATAAGGTACCTCATTGCAACCCTAAATATAGACAGTAGAGGAGGTTGAAAATATTCCCCTGCAGCTTAGGGACATTTAATGCAGATGGTGAGTAAAATATATTTGGGAAGATGTGACTTAGGGAGAAACCATTAACACTATGATGGATGGTGGAGGAAGCTCAGCCTACAGAAGAAAACTGAGCCAGTCCATGGCACACAGGAGCTCAAATCAGCAAATCTTTGCTGTTCTCACACTGAGCCTGTGGCTGCTGTGAGGGTGCAGCTGAGCCCTCCTCTGTGCCTGGCACCCTGTGTGCCCCTGACCTCTGGCACATCCTACACCACTCAAACCCAGCTGCTTCTCCAGGTGCCTTCACAGGTGCCTCTGGGATGTTATACCTCTATAATAGCTGATGGCTTGGTGTGAACACTTACTTAATCAAAAACTGCAGTGTAAACACAGCCATTGTGCTGGTCAGTTGAAAACTCAGAATTTTTTATCATTATTATTTCCTTATATTGACATCAGAAATAAAAGAAGGAAACTGCTTGAGGACTCCTTAGGTGAAAATACTCCCTCAACAATCTCATTTCCTTCAAGTTTTTTGCTCCTTTCCACTTCAGTGTGGGCCTTGGATCATTGCTGAATTTTTTGCAGAGGAGAGGGAGAGCACTTATCAGAGCACACAGATTTCTGACCTTATGGCCTCAAAACGTTGGATGCACTGCTGCTCAAATTGCATAGTTTGAAATTTACTTCAAACAATTTCTGTTGTAAATTCTAGCTAATATAATGCCTTGCCCTGGCTAATATACTGTGTTGTCTTTTCCAGCTGGACAGGACCTACACAGGCCTGCAGACACTTGGTGCAGAAACAGTGAGTCAGAGGGTTGTGGGATGGATTTGATTCTCTTAAAGATGTTTAAAAAGAAAAGATGTATGGGACTAAGCACAGAGTCAGACCCATTTGATTTCACAATTTCTAGAATGCAGATTTTGCTCTCTTGTTGAATGAAAGGATTATGATGCCTTGGCACTATTCATGACAACAGTCATTTTTACTCCTTCCTGGGTCAGGGGAGACTGTTTCCAGCTCTTCCTTCATAAAGAACTTGGCTTGTACTGGAGCTTTAAATTTTACTTCTTTTTGAGGCTTTTGGTACGAAATGTTCTGATTTTCATTCTGATCTGCTGTAGAGCTTACTCATGAAGAATTTAAGTTCAAGGGATCACCTAACTATTCTGTTGAAATTTTGCAGTATATTAAGTATTTCTAAGTTTCTGTATCTGTCAAGGTTAAGGACTTTAATGGAAAATGAACTACTGAAATAAATTAATTAATAACCCATAGTTTGCTAAATTTCTAAAGTTTTCTTGATAGTGTTTTCCCCTTGTACTGTAGTGAATGGAAATGTTGATTGTTAAATCACATTACTTCAGCTTTTCAGTTTGTGGAGAAAACATTAATGTGAAATGTCTACTGTTGTTAAAGAATGCTTTTGAAGAGTAGATCATGTGGTGTGATTCTCAAGGCCTTACCAGAACAGACAGGCTTCAGTTTCGTGCCTGTCCCTCCAGGGATATGCAGTCCTTTCTTTAGTGGGTTGCTTAGAGCTGGGCTCCATAATCCTTCCAGTGTTTACAGTTCAGATTTCCCCACGGACCAAGATGTTCTATTTTACTGTGGGAGTTCAATGTTGCAAGATTTTTGTTGTAGCTCAAGTACTGCTGGATCTTTGGGAACTGTCCCTGAAATGAATGGAAATGTTATGTAGAGTCGGGGGAAACGAAGGGAGAGGTTTTTAGGCATTAAAATAAAAAGGCAAAGCTGATTTTGGTTTCTATATCTTTACCCAGCTACCAAATACTAATGTCCTTTCTCCTATTTTTGGAAGGTAGTGGATGTGGAGCTACACAGGCATTCCCTTGGTGAGGAGTATCTCTTCTCCCAGTCTTCAGAGTCTGACCTTTCTGATGTTCCTACATCTCTATCACTGCCACTGAGTATCCCAGCACCAGTCAAAGCTTCTTCACCAATTAAACAGTTGAGGGACTCCAGCCCAGACGCTTCTGTGGACAAAGGTAAAGCAAATGGGTGTTGGTCAAATGCAAGTTCTTGGAACTTTGGCTCTGCTGGATACCTCATCTGAATTGCTCTTATGCCTCAAAGGTTGCTGCTGCTACCTGCTTGTTGTTCATCCCAGATCATATTTTCCTTATGTGCTCTGAAATGTAATTCAGAAATTGTTATAGATTATTTGGTTTTGGAGTTCGGTTTTGGTTTGGGTTTTTAATCTGAAGTTTGTTGAGCTGGCTCTGTTTTGCTAAAACATAGCGAGTAAGGAACAGCAGATGCAGTTGGAAAAAAGGTGGTTGAATACTACAAAGCCACTTGTAGTTTTGGCTTTGGCACACTGTTTTCAGAGGGGTTTTTAGGTTTCTGAATGTTTTGTGGACTGTGTATAGATTTGAGGAATTGGTTTAGTGGTGTGTTCAGTTATACAGGTTAGTGCCTAACATGAGCTGACTGAGGGAGCAAAAATCCTTGGGTCACTGTAGTTACTGGACTGTTGAGAATAGAGACTGAAAAAGTTGTGTGTTTGAGGGACCAGGGCATCTCTGCACATTGGGCTCCCTTTCCCCTGAGGGATCAGGAAAGTCAGGACCCATTGCAGTGGGGCAGCAGTAGAGGCCTTAGGATCATTGGATTGCCTGAAGAGGCAGCGCTGGCCCCCACACTGGTGGGATTTGTAGTTTGTGTTAAGTAGGAAGAGCTGTGCCTCTGGGTGGCATTCCGCTGTGTTTTCTGGAACACTTGGTGTCCCAGCTTCCACGAGAGACCTTGGTTAAATGGACTGAGATACAAGGGTGTGTGTTACACTCTTCAGTGTGAGAAACCTTCTGGACACAGCCACATTATATTTCAAAATAGCATCAGATGCTGCACGGTCTGATGCTTTTCTTGGTTTATTCCCACGCTCCTGTGTCCAAGGGGTGGCTGTAAGCTGATGCCATGCATGGTTGTGCTTCCTGGTAGGCACTCTGGTGCCACTGGTGGTGTTCAGGTGCAGCAGGAGGAATGTCTGCTATTAAATGCTTATTAAATGTGGTCTTTTCATGTGGCAAATAAAGGACAAACACAACCAAATTTTAAAGGTACAGGTTTCTTATTCAAACAGGAAGATTTGTAGCATCTTTAGGTGAGCAGTGCTGCAGCCAACAGGAAGGAAGTAAAACTCCCTCCTTTTTTACACTGACAGGCAGTGACTTTTCTCAGCAGCTCCAGGTTAATTGATCTCTTTCTACACCAAATAAAGTGGATTCCATAGCCCAGCTCAAAAGGCAGTCCCTGGTCTCCTTGAGCTCTTACTCCAAAAAATGCACTGCGAGATCCTCTGCGAAGGAGATCCAGCCCTGGTCCTGTGGAGCCCTAACCAAGGACACTTGGAACTAGCAGCAGCTTTTGGTCAGTGGAAGGGCATTCCAAGGAAATGTGTAAGAAGTGGCTGATCACCTGCCACAGCTGAACAGGCTGTGCCTGACATCATTTTATTCTTCTTGTCCAGCAGATCCAGCAGGCCTGTGCAGGACCAATCCCCTCCCTCACTTTCTCACCGTTCAGCGCTTCCCGTCGGTTGCTTTTCCTTCCTTCCTTCAAGAGTGTGTTTGTCATACCTGAGTTATGCTTGTGTAGAGAAGCACAGTAAGGAATCAGATGTGTCAGCCTAAGAAGTATTTCTGTTCTTTTCCCTGTTTTGATCAGGATTCTCTGGGAATGCTGAAACTGAAAGACATGCCACGTTTTATTCCCTGCCATCCTCGATAGAGCGGACTCCCACCAAGTTAGCCACACAGAAAGTTGCCTTTGGCTCTCATGGAAATTCAGCCTTTCAACCCATTGCAGCTAGCTGTAAAATAGTGCCTCAAGGTCAGAGTCCAAGCCCTGCAGAGTCACCAGGAAAATCCTTCCAGCCTATCACCATGAGTTGCAAGATTGTATCAGGTGAATGTTAGTTTACTTACCCGAGTGCCTCCCCCTGGAAAATGAGAGTGAACCAGTTGGACTTGTTTTGTGTCCTTCCCTTGATTTTCTGCCAGTCTTTGAGCATCAGACAGTAGGAAACTCTAGAATAAAGAGCTAAGCACGCATCTTAATGTTCAATGAAAAAAAAAATACAAGCGTGAAATGGTTCACAACAAATCAAAAGCAGGATGAGAGCTGTTCTCTTCCTGTTCTTGAATGCTTTTAAGTATGAAATAGGTAGTCTTGAAATGGACTGCTACCCACAGAAAGGCCCAGGCAAAAACACATCTTCCATGTGGAATATTTTTATGTGGGAATAGTCCATTCTTCTCCCTCCTGCTTTCATACAGCTGGGATGGATTAAGAATTTTTTCCTTGATTACTGGGCAAATAATTTAGTTTTAACCTTGTAGACTCAAATAGATCCTCTTGTGCTTGCCATGTTGCATCAGATGGAGCAGCTTTGGTCTTTGTCTTCCAAAAGTCCACGTAATGTTGGATTAAATTGCCAGCTGGCTGCAGTGGGCAGTGTGACAGCTTCTAAACCAAACATGGCTAAAGTGCTGCTTTGCTCATTTCACTTGTGGTCCCTTCCCTGCCTGGGTGTGATGCCAGTCACTGGATGATGTTTTACATCAAGAAGTATTAATGTACAGCTCACCGTGGCGCATGCTGTGAGGCTGCAAGGTGACCTGTTGCAGCTCTTCATTTTCTGATAGAGGATGAAACACCAGCTATCAGTACATGTGATTTCTGGTGAGCTGCTCCCAAATAATTTTCTTAAAGTGAGTCTGGTTTGTTGTTTTGTTTTTGTTTTGTTGGTTTTGGGTTTTTTCTAATTACACTTCAATATTGTTCTTGACTGTTCTCAGGTTGATTCACACTTGAACCTATGCCAAGTGCTTTATTCTTTCTTTATAAGCTCTTCTCTTGATCTTTTCCCAAAGCTTCCTAGAAAGCAGGAATTACAGGGGCCATCCTATCTTTCCTAGAGTCCTTGGACTGTTCTTTGTTATCTTTGCTATTTAAATGTTTCCCTGCTAAACCCCCAAGGTTCTGCTGTCTGCTGAGAAGGGTTATCCCTTTCAGATTTCAAAGCAATTTATAAGACACGGGGATTGTATTTGATGAGCATTATGTTCTGTTTTAACTGTCAGTAACTGCCAAGAAAGTACATTAACAGGCAGGTGAAGCTTGGTGTTTGCTGCTGTCTCTTTTCTCTGATCACTTCCTTGCTAGTCCTTTTCTCTGAATTTCTTGTTTATTCCTTCATGCAGCTTTTTTCTTCTCTAGTTTGTCTCTCTCCTGGCTATGTTACCCAGAAGCAATCAATTGAAAATGAAGAATAAATTTTGCAGATTGATTTCAGGGTTTTCTGCTGTAGTGAGAATGGTGAAGGGATGGACCAGAGCAGTGAAGGGACCTGGGTGTTCCTGCTGCCTGAGGCTGTTCCATGCAGCCTTTTTAGGGGAACTCCTTGGTTCCCACTCCTGAGTGCCTGTACTTTGGCCTGCACAAGGGAAGGAGAGCTCAGCTCCCTTTCTCCATCTCCTTGGGTGCCCTGATCTTGGCAGTGAGAATGATGTAGCTACTATCCCTCAGGATTCAGGGATATGATATTCAGGGATATTGAGATGGCTTCTCAAGTGTCCTTTGAGTCCTGCTTGTCCTGGTAGGCAGAGCATGTCCAGAGTAGGTATGAGCCATAGTGCTTTATGTGCCTTTTCCTTTCCTTCTGTCTCCTCTTTCCTTCTCCAAGTCCGGTGACCTCTCTCAGGCTGGGAAATGCATCCTCAAAAAACATTCCTTTTCTAAGCCATTTTCAAAAGTACTACTATTGCCATGTTTTTATGTTCTGACAACATTTACAAGCTAGAAGCATTGGACTTTTTTTCTTAAGGTTCTCCAATATCGACCCCTAGTCCATCTCCGCTACCTCGTACCCCAACGTCCACTCCGGTGCACATGAAGCAAGGCTCTGCCAGCTCAGTCCTTAATAACCCGTATATTATTGTGGACAAGCCTGGACAGACGGTTGGAGCAGCAGCCACAAGCACAGGTGTGTAGTGTGACCACAGAAGGCAGTGGCTTAGTCTTACCCATTCAAGTTTCTTCTCCCCCCCAAAATGATCAGTGTAACAGCAGCATTTCAGCTCGTGGAGATGGTAAAGTGCTCAGCAGAGAAAGAGGAAGGTGCTGGCGTGTGCGTGGCTGAGGATATCTCAGACTTGAGCGTTGCTTCCTTTAGGAAACAGCACACTGTAAAGCCAGACTGAGTTCACAGACACCTCTTCAAAGAGAGCCTGTTGTTTTCAGGTAAAAGGGAAGGGGAGAAGGTGATGTAGACTGTGTTGCAGTGCTTTAGACAGAAGGAGTGCACAGGTGGCTGGGAGACAATGCTGGTGTGGATGTGGCAGAGCATGGAGAAGTCACAGTGACTGGCAGATCAGTCTTAGGTCTCAGTGTGGGGCACAGGAGATGTGTTGAAATGCAGAGACCCTGGTTACCAGGAGAACAGCTGTGCTGGATTTTGTTTGTGCTCTCAGCTTCTACCTGGTCCAATTCCAGCTGGTTTGGATTCCTCTTAACTAGATTCCCTCAATGGTGACAAAAGCCTGGGGCCACAGGGAGGGCTGAACCTCAGGACACAGGTGATGGATAGAGGAGTCAGTCAGTAATCTTTGTGTTGGGCTGGAGGCAAGGTCCCTCAGAAGTCATTTATTTGTTGTGGTATATGGCCAAGAACTCCTGTCTGTTTAAAAGCACACTTGTTTGTGTATGTGCGTGCTGGCCAGCATCTCAGCAGGATGCCCAGGGCCAAGTGGGGGCATACAGCACCCATGGAACACAAACCATTTGCTGGGCCATGGGCATGGTTGGAAAACACAAAAAATATTTTTATTAATGCTTCCTCCCTTTATCAGAGGGAACACAGCTGTCATGTTCATTTTAACTTCATCACAGAGGGAATTGGTAGGGTAATTGGTAGGAATTGTGTAGCTGTATCTGAATTTTTTGAAGTATGTTTTGTGGCTTTCTTGGTAACACTGATGCAGTTTCACCAATAGGGTTTGATTAATTGGGTTTTTTTTGATTGGTTGGGGGATTTCTGCCTCTTATTTCTGTTTCTTTACCTCCAGCCTGATTGTGTTCTCTGCCTAAGTGGTTTATCATGGTTTGGGTAACTTCTGGGTTCTTCTAATAGAGGTTTGTACATGAAGGATAGGATGTGCAGGTGGTTGGGATGTACAGACTTTAATGTGCAGTTATTGTTAAAGCTGTGGTTTCCCACCACACCCTGCACACAGATGTACAGAGTGGCCTGGCAGAGGCTGCTTGCTGCCTCTCCCTCCCTGCACTCCTGTGCCTCCCCTGTATCCTGCATGAGTCAGATCACATCAGTGGCAGAGCAGAAGATTGTTACCCTCCCCTCCCCAAAAAACTTTGTTGTGAGAGAGCCTCTTCACCAGACCCTGTGCGAGGGTGCAAGAGGGTCTGTAGAACTCACTTTTTGGGGAACAGCAGCCAGGCTGAATTGAGCATAATGTGTTTTACAGAAAAAGTCACTGGGGCACTTTTGATAAGGCTGCAGATCGTATTTAAGGAAAGGGGTGAGATCTTACTCGGTGAAAGCCAGCCTTCCCAAAGCCCATTCTCAGAAGTGGCTGCTCATTTACTTCTAAACTCAAGGGTGGATTATAGTACAACTGTATGAGACACTGCCTTTTTGGCTTTCATGTGTGTAATTCATGGCTTTGGTGTCTCTTGAACAAACAAAACTGCCAAAGCAAGCCAACAGCAGCAGTCAGAAGACTGCTGAGGAGCAGTCTTGTGCACAGGCTGATAATGCAGGGTAAGTTTACCACTGGACCCCCATCCATCCTGTGGGGCCAGGAGAGTGCTGTGGCACATGTGTCAGTCTGATAATTTTGCAAGAGCATCTGCCACAGATGACTCTATGCTTTCATTCCTTGTTTCTGTTTCTTCCTTTACCTTCCTCACTCTGTCCCTTGCTCTTGTAATTCTTCACTTTATCTCCATCCTTTTGTGACCTTTCTTTTCCTTCCCTCTCCAAGCCTTCCTCCCTGCCAGTGTCCAAGGCTCATGTAGGTTCAGGGGGCTTCTGGGCAGCAGAGGATTTTGCATCTGTCCTAATTTCACATATTTGCACCTGTAGCTGATATCCTCAGCCACCCAGGAAGGTTCCTGACCATTTGCTTGCAGCACTCAGAGCAGTGGGTGGAGAGTACCTCCTCTGGGGCACAGTTCCTGCAGGTGGAAATTCGGTGGTGGATCTGTTTTGTGCCCATGGCGGTTCCTGCTGTTGCACGTGATGGAGAATGCAGATGAAATGAAATGCCCTGCTCCTTGTTAGAAGAGGTTTCATGTGTGCACTGGCCCTGCTCCCAGCCCTCACCCAGCATTTGCTTTATTTCCTGCTGTGCAGGGAGCCCGACCAGCAAACTGAGCAGTGTCTGTCAGGCATCTCACGGGACTGGATCTCCTGTGTCAAAGACCCATGGGAGCAGTTTTGGCACCTCAGCTGTCAAGGTAATGTTCTCATTAGGTGTGTACTTCCTGTTTAGAGTCCAGCTTTCTGTTAAATGGGACTCTTGAGCATTAAAAAGTCTACAGTTCAGGCACGTTGCTTGGATTGTCATTTCATGTGAAGGTTTAGTGTGTCTAACAGATGGAGCCATAGGAGAGCATGGTGCTGATACAAGATGCTAGTGTCATTTCATGCAGCTCTAATTAGGCTTGCCTACATATCTGTTAAAGGCACTGCTCTTCTGCTTCTCTGCAAGGAAATTTGTGGAGGGCATAGCTCCCCAAACGTTGCATCTTTCAAAAAAGCTCCTCTGTAGCTGGCTTTGATCTTCTTCACTTTGTTAGTCACAGAGTATGATGAAACCAGAGATGCCTACCTCAAAACCTTCACTCTGTTCATTATTCTTGTACAGCAGCTGTTCCTAGCAGCCTGAAAATAACTCATGTAGTGGTTTTACAACTGCCTGCATTTAAAAAAAAAAATGTTTATGTAAACAGTGGAGTAACATTTGGATGTGTAAACAAACAGCAATAAATACAGTTCATGCTTCTGATCTGCAAAGCCCAAAAGGTACAGAACTGAACTGTCTCACATAAAATCTTTCCCTCATCTTGTGCTAGGGATGATATTTCTGGCAGGGAAGTGGCGTCAGCAAGGCTCTGAAAGCAGCTGGTGGGTGTTCTGCTGGAAGCAGGAGCGTTTCCCTGTCTCCAAGCCTCAGTATTAAAGCAGGATATGGTGGGGGAAGGCTTGTCAGTCAGCCTGCAGAGAGCAAATCACTTCACATTTGGAACTGAGATGCTTCCTGTGTCTTCTGGGGGAAAAGTGTTGCAGCCTGTTGTCTGAAGCAGTTAGTTTGGAGTAGCATTTGCAGTGTCAAGTGTGCAGCTGGCTAGTCAGATTTTAAAAACCTATGTGCTCAGATGGATTTCACTTAACAATGTTGAAAATCATTCATTATTCTTTGTTTTTCATGGATTTGCAACAGGTTTTTTTTAAAAGTTTTCAGTGAGTCAGAGTAGGCACACATCATTGGTAACAGCTGAATTCTGTATTTCCAGGGCAACGTTAAAAACTGAAGATATTTTTAAAAACCCATAAAAATCATACTTCTGTAAACAGAAATGTAATTTGATTTATGTCTTCTGGTTGCTGTAAAAGCTGTAATTTTAGGGTTTCTTTAAAGAGATGAGTGTGCCTGATAGTTCAGTGGGATATTATAGGTTGTGCTTAACTCACCACTTCTCATCTCTTCACTCTGTGCTAGTTTTCTGTATTTGTTTTAATGACTTCAGGCTGTGTTCCTGCAGCCAGTCTCAAATGCAGCTGCTGTTGGGAGGACAGGTTGTGCCTGTAGCCTTGTCTTCACAACTCCCCTTTGCTACCAGCTGTGCAGCTGTGTGGTGACCCAGAGCAGACAGCCCACCTGTGTTAGAGCTAATGTTTCCAGCCACAGTACAAGGAAGGTGCCAGGAGTTACAGGGCCTGATTTCTGCTCGTGATCCAACCCAAGGATGGGCCAAGTGATTGTAAAACCATGGCTTTGGGGTTCACATGGATTGTAAAAGAGAGCAGTCACACTGTAACAAACTCCCTCAAATGCACTTGACTTCTCTGCTGGCCTCAGACCCAGAAGTGCCAGGTGAAGGTGACAAAACTTTTTTTACTTAATGTTTGTTGTTTCTGCCAAATGGTGAGTTCTGTCTGGATCATTGTGTGCTGCTGCATTGTTCCAGTTAGAGGAGAGCATAAACTCCTCTGAGAGAAGAATTTTCCCCTCTGTAACTTGTTTCTTCTTACACTGTCTTCTCTCTCTGAGATTGTGTAAAGAATCACAAAATAATTGAGGTTGGCAGAGACCTCTAGAGATCAACCATCCCAAACAGGGACATATAGAGTAGGTTCCTTGGGAATGTGTCCAGTTGGGTTTTGAGTATCTTCAAGACTGAAGAGTCCCATCCTCTCTGACCAACCTGTTACTCTGTTTGGTCACCATAAACAACACTAACAAGATTTTCCTTATCATTTCCTGTGTTTCAGTTTGTTCCCATTGACTCTGTCCATGCATGGGGTACTATTGAGTGTTGTCTGGCTTGACCTTCATTACACCTTTTTAGCAGGCATTTGTATGCATTGATAAGATGCCCCCTCAGCCTATTTGAATTTTAAGTGAAATACTTCTATATAAAAAATTGATCAGAGAACATGAGTTGATATTTTTGCCTGTGTATGACACAGTAAGAAACAATTACTGCTGTTGGAGATGCAACTTTCCAAGTAAAATTTGCTTTGTGGGTTGCATTAAGAAAGACTCCTTTTACTCAAGTTTTGACTGATTTTTGGAAGTGTCTTATTTGCACAGGTAATTTGGCCTGCCCAGATGGTCCATGCTGCCCTTTATTAGCAGTCACTTGTGTTATTTCTTTTATTAGATGTATCACTGATTTTTGCACTGTGTCTTCTTATTTGCAGCAGGAGGATTCTCTTTTTGCCACCATGCCACCCCTTTGTCCCATTGGGAGTCATTCCAAGGTGCAAAGCCCCAAATCGGTCACTGGAGGACTGGGAGCTTTTACAAAGGTATTCCTCCTGACTTTTGTGCTGGGACATGCAGCCCAGTAATGTCATTTAATGCTGACTTGTCTATAGCTATTGGTTGTAACGTTGCAGGATGGAAATAAAAAACAGTTGGTTTGGAATATGGGTTTGAAACTTGAGAGTGTCTGGCTCCATGCTGAGACACAGGGTCTGGAGAAGTTGGGTCTGGCCAAGTCCTGTGTCAGGATGAGTGGTACTTGTAACACTACCAGCAATTGCTGTGACTCTGTAATGTCACCTCTGAAATGGAGACTGCTTTGTCACTGTGTCACTTTGTCACACCATGCTGTGTGGGAGCAGCCCTCACTTGGAGCCCTTGGAGAGTCCCTGTGGTGGTGAGAACCACATGAGTTCAGAGTGTGCCTGCCCTTCCCTGCAGACAGGCTGCTCCACAAGCCATATTCAGTGCTTGAAGGTGATGCCTTGGAGGGGCTCCCTAGAACAGAGGCTAGGGAAGATTAAGAGAATAAAGTGGATATTTCTTAAAGGCCTTCAATAGGCACACCTTGGGCAGTGGACAATGGTCACGAGTTTTTCAGACAATTTTAAGTTTAGTCCATTTACATATGTTAATCTTCCAATTACAGCTTCAGCTAATGAAGTCATTTACCCCCAGTTTGCTCCCCCCAATTCACTTTTGTTTATACTTTCAGGGCCTGAGGTTGTGGGGTGTCCTTGGGTTCCAGGCCTAGAGGAATTGTTTTGTCTGACCAAAGTGTGAAGATAGTATCTAACCCTCTGTTTAGAGTTCGGAGTTATACACTAATGCAGCACAGGATTTGATAAACATAAAGACTAAAATCCTAAGGCATCAAAAGTGTTTGCTTTCCTTGTGCGTGTTTGTTCCCCTTGCCCAGGTGATAATCAAGCAGGAGCCCGGGGAGCTGCCGCAGCAGGCGGCGGTGCCGGCGGCGGGCGCGGCGCAGCCCCCGCTGCAGCAGTACGTCACCGTCAAGGGCAGCCACATGCTGGCCCTGTCCCCACAGAAACCCGCGGTGAGCGCCGGCGAGGGGACGGTGCAGTCCAAGGTAAGGGGCACACGGGCATCCCTGGGTGGTGGGAGCCGTCTGCTGGTGTTACTGCAGCTCTTGGTGTTTCTCCCAGGGGAGCTGGGTTGATCCTGCCTGGCTCCCAGGTGGCAGCACTGTGGCTAGCTGGGTTCCTGTGTCCTGCTTCCATGTAGTGCTTGGGAAGGGAGCAGGCTGAGCAGGCACTGCTGCATCTTACTGTGGACAGGGACATCTCCTGCTTCTGTCCAAGCCATTGCAGCAGTGAGGTGCAGGTGCTTTTGGACTGTCCACCCAGAAAGCAGGCTGCTGTCACCAGCTCTTGCTGAAACTCATCCAGGTCTTTCCATAAGAGAAGGTGAATTCTTCCCTAGGAATGCAGGCCTGCAGCACAAGAGAACAGCACAAATAGGGAGCAGGGTAGAGGCTGAGCCAGAACTAACATTAGGTGAAAACAGTCCTATTTGAGTGGCAACTCAAGCATTTTACTGTAGGAATCATGCCAATGCAGTCCTGCTTTTACAGGAATGACACAGCTTCCAGGAAGGCACAGTGCAGTGACAGGATGACAGATGTGTCAGAAATTGTCTCCATTCTTGCCTCTTTCCATTTTGGACAGAGTCAAGTGATGTGCCAGACACTAGAGCTTACATAAAGAACTTTAACATTTGCATAAGTAAATACTTTCTTTGCATTTGCAACATTTCCTTGTTTTTGCTTCCTTTCTTGCCTGTTTGAGCAGGTAGGCAAATACTCATGTTTCACTGCAGTTACCATTAACACATAAAATGGAAGCACTTTGTGGGTTCTGCTTTGAGGCCGTAGTTTTCCCAGGGGATCTGTTCCCATGAATGTGTTGAAACTGAATTTCTACATCTCCTTAATTCACCAAGGCAAGCTTTATCTTCAGCTGGAATTAAGCCATTGCTTATAAATCAGTAAAAAAAGGAATTGCCCTGTGATTTGAATGAACTTAATCTTTTGTGGTTGCACTGAGATCCTGTCTGGGTTTAACAGTTTATCGTTTTACTTTGGATTGGCCTCTTGCCGATTTAATTTTGTTCTTGAGTGAAGAGCTTCTGTTCATGACCAGGCATGTCCTGAAATGTCTGGAGATGGGGGTGGTGTACCAGCCAGGATTCCCAGGATGGCTGTGGCCAGCAGGGCCCCATCCCATCCCTCTTTGTTGCAGGTTGTTGGCGTTCCGGTTGGGTCTGCGCTGCAGTCGACAGTGAAACAAGCGGTGGCAATAAGTGGTGGGCAGATCCTTGTGGCAAAGTCCAGCTCCTCGGTAGCAAAAGCTGTTGGCTCGAAGCAGGTTGTGACTCAAGGTGTAGCCAAAGCCATTGTGAGTGGAGGTGGAGGGACAATTGTGGCTCAGCCCGTGCAGACTATAACAAAGGCGCAAGTTTCTTCCACAGGGGCTCTGAAAAGTACATCTCAAGGCTCAGGTAGAGTGATTTTACACCTTGTTAATAGCTAGTGATGGGTCTATATTGATTTATTCAACTGCATGATGATTTATAACTGTGTGTGATTGAAAATCTTGGAACTGAGTAGAGAGCTCTGTAGGAAAATTCAGGCTGAGATTAATAATAAAGAAAGTGTTAATTCATTATCTGTAAGAGGGAAGAGGGAGCACAAGTGCTTTAAAACATGTGGTGTTCTGGGAGTGGAGACTGGATGGATACTCTGGGGAATGTGCAGACTTCCAAGGAGCCAAGTCTCACATTTTTGCCTGGCATTATGGTCCTTTCCCCGTGAATCCAGCCAGCCAGATCCAAAGTGTCCCTATTTCATCCCCACATCTTCCCCAGTGCTTACAGGTACAGGAGTATGTGCAGAAGCTCCCTGTGTGCATCTGCAGACAGCTGCTTTAGCTGAGCACAGGCTGGGGCTCTGCGCTGTTGGACAGCTGCTGTGGGGTGCCTGGGGCTGCAGGAAGACTGCAAACCCCACAGCTGTGCTGCTTTGGCCTGCAGCCACAAGTGGGACTGCATGCAGAGAGATTGCTTCCAGAACTATTAAAAAAAGTGTCTGTGCATCACTGGTGGAGTTAATCTGCGGTTAGAGCAGCTAAGTAGGGATTACTGAGGGCTGGTTGCAAGTCACTGAGTACTTCCATCCTGTGCAGATTTCAGTGCATACTACTTTCTGCAAGCAGCTGTTTTATTGCTTTTTATTCTCTTTCTAGTGATGGCTACACTGCAATTACCAGCCACCAACCTGGCAAACTTGGCAAACTTACCACCAGGCACCAAGCTGTACCTCACCACCAACAGCAAGAACCCTTCTGGGAAAGGAAAACTGCTGCTGATACCCCAAGGAGCCATACTGCGAGCCACAAATAATGCTAGTTAGTCTTGCAGGGAAATGTAATGAGTTAAATAATGTAATCACTGCATAATTAATATGTTTGGCATTTTTGCTAGAAAGCATCCTGGTGCTGTGGAAATCAGTAACAGGATAGGGTGTCTTTGTTCACAGTAACCTATATGTGGTGCTTTTTAAGGCTGAGATATCACAAGTGCCTTTTGTTTTCAGTGAAACTACTTTTCATGCCGTGCTCTCAATGCAGAAATATTTTTGGTTAATAGGCCTGTGAATGGAACTCCCAGTGAAATACCTGCAGCTGGGGCAGTTCAACTTTGAACTCATTGGCAGCAGGGAAGATCAGATACTTGTGATGTTTATGACAGAGCTATGAGTACTTTTTTTACCTCTGTTTCTTAATGAGAGACTGCAGAAAGTCACTGTTCAGGCTGCTCCTTCTGGAGACAGGGAATATCAAAGTGTCGTTGCAAATTTCCACTGCTTGGTATCCATGACCTGTTATTCTGTTAATGAAATTGCATTGACAGCCAGTGAAATTAAAATTAAGAAGCCAGTGACATTCAGAGTGTTTCCAGAGCTTTTGCTGCAGATCCATAACCTGCAAAAGAGTGATGAAAAGATTGATTTTTTTTTGGACAGCGTTTTCATTTCATAGAAAGTTCAAAGCAGCCTGAAATGAGCTTTGCTTGTCCACCAGCCCCCCATATCTCTTCAGTAGCTCCTCTTGTTCATGGTATTAGCTGAGCTGTAGGAGAGCACAGCAGCACAACTGAACTCTTCTTTATTGAATTAATAACATTACTTGACTGCAAAACACATGACACCAAATGTGTGGCAAAGTCTTTTCAAGTACTTGTATAGACAGGGATGCTTTAGCAGCTGGCACTGTCTGATTACCAAAGGGTCAAGTCTTTTCCTCTGGTTACAGGTCTTCAGTCTGGTTCTTCTACAAATAGTGGAGGAGGAGGAGGAGGCGGAGGAGGAGGAGGGGGAACCCAAAGCACAAGCAGTAACTTGTCACAGCACCTCACCTATACATCCTACATCCTGAAGCAGACACCCCAGGTCAGTAGCAGAAGCATCTCAGTGGAAGCACACTGACATTTCAGGCTGCAGGGGTGTTAGGTGGATGTCCTGTGGTTCTGTAAAATGTGAAACGTTCTGCAACTCTGGTGTCTGGACTTTTCTCCTGCTCTGCTCAGAAGGTGTTCTGCAGCAAGAAGGCTGCATCCAGCTCTTAGTGCAAGAGCATCCAGTGTGGTTAGTACTTGAGTGCCTTGTTGCAGAAGATGAAATGTTGTTGTGGCTACATTATAGCCACAAGCTTTTATCTGTTACTGACACTCCTAGATTTTTGTTGACTCTTAGATGTGTTCTAGAGTGCTGACCTCCCTGATTTCTTTCTGGAGCAGGGCACCTTTCTGGTTGGCCAGCCTTCACCTCAGGGCTCTGGGAAGCAGCTGACTCCAGCATCAGTTGTTCAGGGCAGTGTAGGAGTTGGAGCATCTTCCACACAAGGACAAACCCTGAAAGTGATAACTGGACAGAAAACAGCTCTGTTTACACAGGTAATGTGCAACTGGCATGTTTCTCTCTTACTAGTTTTGTCAGCTAAAGTACAGGAACCACAGCCACACATTGTTGAGAGCATTTCCTTTCATAGTTGTTTGGTTTGATGTGGAATTTTGAACAACTGTGGTGCTGGCTGTACCACGATGAAAGCACACAAAAGGCTTGCTTTTATCAGACTACAGATTTCCAGCTTTCTCTTCTCAGAGAGGGTCAGTTTGCAGTCTGTGTAAGCTTGGGGTTGCTGCTTTGTAAATGGGATCTCTTAGTGAAATGGAATTGGAAAAGTGAATAGTCAGGTGCAAAAATGTACATAAATGTACTTGAACTTTAGAAATGGGTCGCCTGCTAAAGCTCTTAAAAATCTTTGGGTTTGGTACACCTCAAAGGTCCTCCTTTTAAAAAGTACCAAGTAGACTCTATGAAATTCAAATGCCCCAAGAGCACTCACAGTTGTTTATCCAAAATTCAAGGTTGATAGACATATATTTGCAAAGTCAGCACTTACAAAGTTGATTTCTGAGGTGATAATTTTGTTCCAGCAATTATTGCCAGAAATTGATTTTTTTCAAAGGTATTTTGAAAATATTTTCTAGTAATATAAAAAGCATTTCTCTTGTTTGTTTTGTTGTTGGTGTTCTGTTTTGATTTGATTTTTTAAAATAACTTAAGACCCTAACTAATATACTGTTTTCCTTATGCTGCATTCTTTCTCAAAGGCTGCATCCAGTGGACAGACATCACTGGTGAAAATATCAGATGGGTCTATAAAATCAGTGCCTGCCTCATCGCAGCTCTCCAAACCTGGCACCACTGTGCTGAGAGTATCAGGAGGTGTCATCACCACGGCTGCTGCTCCTGCCGTGGCCCTCCCCACAAATGGGGTGGCCCAGGTGAGAAACAGCACTGGCAGTGTTCTGGAATGCAGTGTTTGCACTCCTGCCACAACAGTCCCAGGGAAGGATAAGTGAGTGCTCTGGTGGGTGGATGCGGCCATGGATGCAATTGATGCGGGCTGCCCACCTGGAGTGGAGCTGCAATGCATGGAGAAGGGAGGAGGCAGCAAAATGAAGAGTGTGGAATTCACTCTGAGCCTGTTTCTTCCTATGAGCCCCTAATCTGTGCCTCCCAAATGCCTGTGGAGAGCGGATGCTGCTGCAGCCTCCATTCTGTATGTGCCATTATTGTGTTTGGGCTTTTGGATATGAGCTTGAGAATCTCTTGCTTCCTAACATCTGATAGATAAAAATTTGGGTTTGCAACTTTTATTACTTATATTACCTTGTTGTGCTTACTTTTGAATCACGTGTGACATGAAAAGGGATTTGTTATCCCTCTCTGCCTCTTATCCAGCAAACAGATAATGCAGCTTCCAGTTCATCATCTTCTGGAACTCCTGCAGCAAAGACACCTGGCCAGCAACACCAAATCTGTGTAAGCCAGAGCCAGTCTGCTTCATCAGTAGTGAATAAGACTGCGACTTCCAGTGTTGTAAGTGTTGCTTCCTTGATGACTACAGCAACACCTGTGACGGGAAAAGCTACAGTATCAGGTACTAAACTCCCTTCACACCTTTCCTAGAGAAAGCTAGAATCCAGGTGTGAGTTCTGAACATGTCTTCACTGTAAACAAAAGAATTTAGTCACCTGCATTTGTGAGTTTGTGAAAGTCATGATTTCTAAAACATCTTATTAGCATAACTTTTGGCTTAGCCAAGGAAATCTCTAATAATTTGGCATCCTTTTGGTATTGACTGCATCTGTTACAAATAACAGCTTTGTAAAATAACAAATAACAAATAACAAATTACCCTTTGGTATTGGAGAGGAATTTTAGTTTTCAAGCCAGGTTTTCACTAGAACATGCATTTTGCCTGTCAGGAGCAGAGTGTGTCACAATGAAGACACCAGCAGTACTACAGACTTGATCAGTTTGTGAAAGTGAAGCTCCACTATATGCAGAGAGGGAGCAGAATTTGTCTTTGAGGCTTTGCATCTGCTCTGTTGGGACTGAAAAGGAGAGAGATGTTGATTAGAGGGAACTGGAGCCTTTGAAGTCAGAATTCATTAAGTACAGTGAAATAGGCTGGATCTGGAACATTCAAATTAATAAAAATGATGTAATAAAAATGGGATGCCCTTAAATGAAGGGGAGTTCTCCTTACTTAGTTTTGTTGTATTTTCAGCATCTTTTGTGTCAGGGAGGGCAAATACAGCAGGTCTGAGAGTTAGGAGTTAGAACTGGAAATTTTTGTTTAGATTAATTTACCTGCTGGCATGTTCTGCTCACTTGAAATGGTTTCTTATGAAGTGAAAGCAGAGTAAAAATACAGAAAAGAGAAAATAAGTGACACTGAGCTCATCTGACAGTGTCTTCTTGATATAGCTCTTCTTGTTTCCTCTTGACTCAGACTTAAGCTTCTCCTTTCTCATGGGTATATTTTACCCAGAGCTTGAAAATAAACAGCATCAATTGCTAAGATTGACAGAACCCTGCAGGAAGCAATTCAGTATTTTTCTATTTGCAAGTAAAGCAGCCAGGTGGGTTTTTTGGAGGAAATAAGCCATACTAAATAGTTTTCAGATTAAGACTCCCACTTATGTGTGAGAATACATGTTTTGGGGGTTTTTTATAACCTGAGACGTTGACTTCATTGTGGAAAACTCTTGAAGAATCTCAGAAGGAAGTGGCTATAAAAGTTATTTCAATGTAATAACAAAGAAAAACTCAAAACTGTTAAAATTCTGAACATTTGTGTTTTTAAAGGCAGCTTTTTGAAAAGAATTTCAAACTTTGCTTTGTTTTGTATCAAGCAGTGTCTCCCACCCACCAGGCTGATAGGGTTTGTTGAAAAGGTTCTGAGACATCAGTGTGTCCCACACAAAGGAATGAGTAGCACTAGGTGAGCCTTCCTGCCTGGATGTGAAAGCCTAACTGACTCAGGATGCTGGGCATCCTGAAAAACCAAGAAAAACCAAGGCATCTTCACCAGAATTTGCATGTTTAGTACTTGGAAGGGAGCTGTGTTCCAGTACTACTGCTGCTACTATTAATAATAATAATGTCAAGAAAAATCCTATTTACAGAATTGTCATGGTGAAATTAAGAAGTTTATTGTTGTTAATGTTTTAAAAGAGAAGCCTGCTAAATTTCCACAATCTGAGGAAAAGTTAGCTAAAGTTAGATTGAATACAATTACATGGAAAATAGCCAGTTTACCTGTAGAAAGCATGGACATAGGCCCAAATCACAGTGTTAGAGTGCTGGCTGTGGTGCCTTGGGGTGACACCACAAGGAGATGACATCTCCCTGTGGAGGAGAGAGCTGGCAGACAGGTGATGAGCACTCCTCACTCATGGGACTGTGGCACACCTTGGAGTCCTGCTGATTTCTCCCAAAGTTAGTGATCATTGATAATGCCATTAATACCTGAGTGTTCTGCTTGTTCTTTTAGCCGCTACTAAAATCAGGGATTTAGTTCAGTCTCCAGTTTAATTAATTAATTTAATTTCCCAGTCTGATTAGCCATCCTTCTGGGTGTGTTCAGTGCACCTTGCAGAGAGACTCACACAATGCTCAGTTCAGGTATGTCCTTTGTCAGACCTGCTGCACAGCAGCCTTGGGCTTGTCCCATAGTTGGAACAGGGTTATTGTGCCCTGCTGAGTGCAGTGGATGCTGCTAAGCTGAACTGCAGAGGTGTGAGTGGCACTGGGATACCTCCCTGACAGCAGCTGTGTGGCTACAACAGAGCTGTAGTTCACTGGCTTACCGCAGCCTTGAGCACAAGGTCTGGTCCTGACAAGAGTGTTTTACTCTGCTGAGCCTGCTTCAGTTGAAAGGTTTGTTACATCAACTTTTGCTTGAGATTCCTTAGGTAATGAGGAGATTTGCTTTACAACTCTCAGAGTGCTGTGCAGCATGTAAGAGTGCACACTGTGGTGCAGCACTACAGCATTTGAGCCATCACTTGTGCCAGTGGAAACTCGTCCTGACAGCTCACCCAACTGTGGCTTGTTAAGAGGGTGGCAGTGCTAGGTTACATGCCATCCTGCTTCAAGCAGAAAGGGAGAGAAGTAGCTGGAGGTAAACTAACTGGTGTGTTTTATTTAACATTTTGTCTTCCGTTCTTCTTGCAGGGTTGCTAAAAATCCACTCAAATCAGTCTAGTCCACAGCAGGCTGTTCTGACAGTTCCCAGCCAGCTTAAACAGCTCGGTGTAAACACAGCTTCTGGAGGTGTTCAGACAATACTCATGCCTATGAACAAAGGTAAAGGGCAGAGGAGGATGACACACGGTGTTTGAAAATCTCCTTTGACACAGGGTAGCACTTGGTCACTGTTGGCATACATGGTCCGGAGTAGAGATAGAGGAAATTGTAGCAAGGAATTCATCCCTAAACTTTGTGCTGCAAAAAGTGGGCTGCTTCTGAAAATGTTAATTTGTCACAGCGTATGAAATTTGATTTTTTTTTTTTCTTCTTTGTTGCCCCCTTCCCTTTTTTTTTCTTCTTTTAATCTCCAGTGCTACAGTCACTTTCTACCAGCAAAGTTTCAGCAGTCACAGCAGCAAGTACAGTTGTCCCAAGTCCCTCCACAGCATCCATTGCCAAAGGTAAAAAGGGATTTCTTAGTAAGACAAGCAGTAAAAAAAAGCTAGTGCTGCTTTATGCAAGTGGCCTGACTATTATCCATGACTGTGGGTTCCTTTATTTTCATTATTAGTAGAGTTTAAATCAAGTTAAAATGACACCTGGGGACTAGGAATTTAACAGTAACTTCCCCCTCAACAAATCCCAGAGCTCAGAGAAATATGGAGGAAAATGAGAATGTTCTAGAAAACTACAAGGAGTACCTTAAACACTCACTGTTTCAGTCCGTATTTGCAGAACTGCATAGAGGAACAGGTATTCAACCCCAGATCCTGCTGTTCTCAGCCAGATGTACTGGAGGTTGCTTTCCAGCAGCACTAGATGCAGACAGCATGTGCCCCTGTGCACACAGAGGGGAAAGAGATACACACAATCCTTCCCAGAATCAAGCATGGGGCAGAGTTGACACACCTGAAGTCCAGTTCTGGCAGAACTGTCATTTCTCTTTCCATCCCACAGCTGCATGGCCAGACTGCCTGGTTATTTGGGTTCGGCACATCTCTCACTGCTTCTGTCTCAGCAGAGTTCTGTCCTAGACGTGAGAAAGTTCACATGTCAGAATCAGTGATGTCTTGAAAAAAGTTGTGACTTTGAAATGTCACTTCTTGTTAAAACTTGGTAGCTTTCTATCCAGCTCTTTGTTTGCAGATGGGCCAGGCAGTTCAGTATAGATCAGGCAGTAATATGTAAAACAGCAGCAATTGTTTATGCAGGTGTTCTGACAAGGATGAGATGTGAGCATGTGGAGATTTGAGCAGGGAACATGTTCTGGTAGGTCTCTTTCAGCAAAATTGAAGGTCGAATTGTTCATGCTTAGCAATGAGAATGCAAACAATAAATGAAGGGATGTTATGTAAGGCCTTTAGTTTTACTGGAATCTCACAAGGCTGTCTGGTACTTTTATCAAGCTGGCTGTACTTTTTGTCTTAAAATGTGCTCTGTTTCTTTGAAGTTAAGATGGAGCCTGATTCAACAGGACAAAACTGCAGTTCTGTGGGTACCCAGGAAGGCCAAGCAGCAGTTAAAACAGAAGAGAGCTCTGAACTTGGGAATTATGTTATCAAGTAATTGTTCATTTCTCTATAAGGATTTCTGATCTTTGAAGTGGTGGGGGAACAGAGATGGTTCTGGGGATGCGTGCAGTCATGTTACTTTGACCTAGAAATACATTATAAAATCTGTCCCATATATTGCTGTATCTGTACTAATCCTGTTGGGTGGCATTTATTTCAGACAGTGTTGCAATGTTTTATTTGTGAATGGATTTTTATGCACGGTTCACAAAAGGGAAAAAATTATTTGAAGATTTGCAGTTGTTTTGGGCTTTATTAAAATCACAGGCTGCTAAAATCTCTTTACCATCACATCACATACTGTGCTTGTGAAAGTCCCATGGCCACTGCATGGCCTTAGTCAGGTCACACTGCCCAGTGAAATGCAGCTCTGAAAAGGGGCATCTGAAATAAGTAGAACTGTCCACCTTCTGGACTCTCAAGTCTTGTGAAGCTCGTGTATTTGTGTAATTACTTAGTATGAGGGCTGCTTTGCTTTAGAATTAGAATTAAATAATAATGAGTATTTGATCACTGGATGCTGTGAAATCCAGTGCCTTGTTTGCAGTGCTTTTGCAAGTACTTGTTAGTGTTTTTTCACCAGAACTCAGACTGCAGAATTTCCTCTGCACATTTCTTGCGGTGTGTAGGATGTCTCTTCTGCTCTTGATTCCTCCAACTTTCCTGTCTCCGTGGTTTTTAAAGTTTTGTTATCTCAGTGTATCCCTGCAGATACTACCCTGATGGAGTGTGTGTAAGAGACAGGAATAAATCTTCAGTCACTACACACTGAAAATTATCTTAGTTACTAGATAATTATTGGAAAATACGGTTCCTGACAGTTTAATAGACTTATGGCTGGTTAAGTCAAGTCCCATAAATACAAAGTGCCCCATGTTTCCTACTCGGGCAGCCTGCACTAATTATTCCTCAAAGTAACGTTGCAGCTTGCGAGACTAATGCAAGGATTTTCTCCAAGCCTGTCTTCAGTTTCTTCAGCCTGAAAAATTCAGCTTCAGATGTGGACACTTTGGCAAGAGGAAGGGCTGTTTGAAATACCTTCTCTGGATTGGGGTGTAACAGTTTATCCTCACACTGCTATTCGTAATGCCCTGCGGCTAAAGACTTTAAACCATGCAGTGATTTTGAAACCTTTTACATCTGATTCATTGCTTCCAACAGCAATCTTCACTGTGATTCTTTTTATCCCTTGCAGCATAGAATATTTGGAGAACATCCAGCAGCTTTTAACAGCAATAGTGAAGAAGGTTCCATTAATTGCTGAAAAAAGTAAGCAGTAAATGAAAAGGCTTTGCTCTGTATTGTCAGTGTATCAACAGAATGCCTTGCATACTTTGTAGTCACAGAAGTTATTAAAAGGTAGAATGAAATTAAGCCATTATCCTAAAGAGTTTACCCCAGAGGTTTTTCTGAAGATGCTTAGAATTAGGTTCTTCCAGTAAAGTCCAGTATGTTGTTAGCAGTTAAAATCTTTAATCTGTTTTATTTTTCATTAGAAATAGATTGTATTTCTTCACATAATGGCTGCAAGTAGGTTTTCTTTTTCCTGGTTTGTCCTTAATGGATTTGCTTTTTGCTTTTCTTTTTTCATTTTTTAAATTTAAAACTAGGGTTTCATCACGATGGCAAATACAATAACATATCTCAACACTGAAATGTGTCTTTATTGGAGTTTTTGCCTTCTTTTTTAAGCAAAAGGGAATAATTTGCAGAGAAACATTTTAATCTTGTATGGTACTTTATCATTTCATTCCTCTTACTCATGTACATAACTGAAAATGTATCAACTTTCCCTGGTAACCAGTACACTTTGAATGAGTGGTCCTCGAGTCTGGGTAGAACAGATCCTCTCAAGCAGAGGCAGCAAAGAAGGAGTGAGAGGCACAGTAAAGCTTTCATCACATACAGATCTCGTGCTTTTGCCAGGAAACCTTTTTCACTGTTTCATTTTTATGTTGTCATTTGTTTGGAAAAAAAAATAAATCCAGTTTTCCAAAGGAAAATACTTTGACTAGTGAGGCAGACTTACAGGTCTACATAATAGAGTTTAGGGGGTGGGGAAGGAGGCTTAAACTAGCGTATAGCTATAGGTTCTGTGTATATGACCAAGAGGGAGGCTGATTTTGCATTCAAAAACCAGTGTCAGTCCCTCTTGGAGAGAGCACAACATTTGTAAGAATTGATTGCAGCCATTGAGCCTGTGAGCATGAAGTCCATTTCCCTTTTCCTCTTTGCTAAATAACATCAAACCCTGAATTCATCTTATGTCACTTATTGAAAATTTAATAGAGTTTTTGATTTTGTGTTTTTTAGGTGAGGATGTAAGCTCTTTTTGTGCCAGTTCAGTGGAACAGTATTACAGCTGGAACATTGGGAAGAGGAGGGCAGCTGAGGTAATTCTCCAGGGTTTCATAAGAAGTCACTAGGAACACAAGAAGGATTTCAGAATTATGGAACCTTCCTTGTTGTCTTATTTGTTTCCTGAATAAATTTGTTATTTTAAATAGCAGCATTCCTTTACTGCAGGGTGCACTGACTTGTGTTCAGTGATCGAGTTTATTGTTCACAGGCTTTCTCAAGCATCAAGAAGGATGCTGAAGGTAATTTTTTAGTTTATTTATAGTAAGATGTTTTTTGTAGCATTTTAAAACTCTGAATTTTTTCAAACTGGTAGTATTTTATCCTCATCTCTCCTCTGTGGAATGTTACAGTCAAGGGAATTTTATCCAACCTACTTTATCTATCTGTGTCTGCTTTATGTAGGATGAGAATTGAGGGATCTGACATAAGCAGTACTAGTGATGAAACAGATTGTCAGTTCACCAAAGATAAATATTTCAGTTAACCTGGACCTTTTGTGTTGTGGTTTTCCCTCTATTTCTTCATAACTTTGCCATTTTGCTGTGGACTTTTGCAGGGAAGATGTTAACACTGAATTAGATCCTCTGCTGGTGCCAGCTTAAATGATCAAAGAGTTTAACCAAATTTTAAGAACATATTTTGCTCTAGTGGATTTCTTGCACCATGCCATCTTTGATATTACTTGGAGATGAAACATTTCAAGCAAGACAAATGCGACTAGGCCCCTGTAAATGCGTGTCCCTTTTCTTGAGGGTTTTTTTTTGATGATAAAGCAAAGTTTAAATGACTTGTCAGAAGTCACTCTGATTCCTGAGAAAATCATGTTCCTTTTCTGTTTCCCTTGCAACCCGGGTTATGGTTCTGGTCTTTAAGCTAACCATAAATGTTCTAGCTGGTGTGATGAGCTTTCTCTTTGGTTGGTCACAGTGGCAACGAGCAATGACAGTGAGAAAGATCCTCCAAGAAATTGTAGAGAAGCACCCCAGGTTTCACAGTATCACCCCCCTGAAAACAAAGCACGTGGTGCAGTGGTGTCGGTGCCATGGCTACACGCCCCCCGACCCCGAGACCCTGCGGAATGAGGAGGATTCCATTGAGGATGTGCTGACACAGATAGACAGTGAGCCAGGTAAGTGTGAAGGGACAGGGAGCTCCTTTCTGCCAAAGACACTGTTTATTAAATTCCTGTGTACAAGCACATCTGCAGAAGGGCATTCTTACTTTCTTTGTTTCCACTTAATTCACTTGGAATAACTAAACTTGGAGATGATAAGGGCAGGCCTACAAGTGGGGCTGTCCCTTGTCCCTATCAGTTGTGATGTTTTTCTGGGGCTTCTCTTAGTTTTTCATGTGCTTTGGGGGCCCTGGAGGCTCAGTGTAGATATATCTCATGAAAGATGATCCTTCCTCCATGGTGTGATCATTTATAAGTGGATACACAAGGTAAGCATGGGGAGTAATGACATTTCTGCCCTTGGGTAGGCTTAGCCTCTGTTAAGAGTTACCATGCAAACACTATGAATGAGTTCAGGTACAGAACAAAATACACCAAACCTGGCAGTGGCAGCTCAGTGGGGATTAATTTACCTCCAAAAGTGAGGTGAATTGGCTCGTGTGAAGCTTCAGGCTTTGTATTACAGCTGCTACATTATTCCACTAAGATAGCTCTAGGATCGCCTCAGTTCATTTCAGTATGTGTTAAAATCACATCTTTAATTTCATCCATTCTTCACAGGTAAGCTCTCTTGTTTCACCTTCAGATAATCCCTTTCCAAAAGCTGAATGTTTTTCTGTTCTGATCATACTAGGATTTAAGGTATTTCACAGAAATACATGGAATTGATTATATATTATAAAGTCTGGCCCTGCATTGCAGTTGTCGAAGGTGGAAAAGAAGCCTACATCCTTATTATGTTTTTATCTAAATCACTTTGTGTTTGTTTTGAAGAGAATCTGTTTACTGCAAAGATTTGCACTGAAGGTTTTACTGGCTTGTGTCAGTCATTCAGAAAAGACATTCTCTTTTGCCATTCCACTGTGAACCTGTCTTCTGATTTTTACTTAAGAAGCATGATAATGCTCATCACAATGTAAAAGATGATTTAGCACTACATGGTGCCTACATATAAACGCTCCACTTCCCTAAGCAAGTTGAAGAGAATCAGACTGATTTGTCAGTTGCCAAAAAGCTTAAAAAGCTTCTGTGAGAATGTTTGGGAGACTGACATGAGCCTGGTTTTGTATGAAATGCAGCCTTCTTGATTGGTGTAGGAGCAGATGTGGGAGAGAACCATGAGTGTCATGAAGATATAATTGGAAGGCTCTTAATGACTGTTTGCATTTCTGTTTACCATTATATTTGGTAGGCACTACAAAAATAACTTGCAATTACCTTAATTTCTTACCATATTTTGAGTGTGCATCTGTTTATAAACAGCTTTCCATAACCTATCATGTGTTTAATTGATTGCTTCTATTTCAGAATGCCCTTCATCTTACAGCAGCGGTGAGGAGCTGTGCCGAAAACTGGAGGAACTACAGCAATTTCTGAAACAGGAGCCAGAACACGAAGAGGAAGTAGATATTCTCAGCTTTAGTGAGCCATTAAAAATAAACATTAAGAAAGAACAGGAGGAGAAACAAGAAGAGATGAAGTTCTACATGGCTTCCTTGCCTGCATCAGAGTTTGTGAGGGACGCTGCTGAGAAGGTAATAAGTGAATCATAAAGCTAATTAGAACTGTTGTTGAGCTATTTAGTTGCATTTCTTTCATCTATATAGGCCTTAGGACTTTTTAATGACAGTTTTTATAAATGCCCTGGAAAAATTGGACCTTCTGACTCAAGACACCCAGCTGCCTGTTCTGGCAGGGGAGAGGGAAGAATGCCAGCTGGGAGCTCACTTCAGAGTAGCTGTTTTGCAGGGCTTAGTACAGAAAAATCATCTTGAAAGGCTAAAAGGAAGGATAAATGAGAGATGAGGAGCACTAGAACTCAATTCTTCCTGTCCCATCATGTGAAAGATGTGGACTTGTTGCTTGGACCAATACTGTGTTATAGCAGTTCCTGAAATGGGGTTGTGGTAAAACTCAGCCAACTTCTCTGCTGCTTGGAGTTCTTCCTCCTGTTCAGTTGAGGGCAGAAGAGAGGGAGGTTTTTTGTCACAGCAGCAGGAGAGAGAGAGAGGACTGACTTGGCTTGTAGGAAAGAGTGCTTGCTGTTGTACCAGAGCAGCAGGAGGGGTTTGCATGGAGCAATTGTCAGAGAAAGGATCCCTGTCCCCATCTCACCTGCTGACAGCAAGAGACAAAACTGGTTCTGCAGTGTGTCTGTCTCTTGCTGCACAGGTGACACAATGAGAGTGGATGAAACACTCTTGGTGTGGAGCTGCTCTGCCAGGAGTACTGTTTAAAGTGGTTTCAGTGGCCACAGTTTGATGCAGGAAAGATGATGAGTAGATGGATTGAAGATACGTACAACAGAAGATACCCAGTGAAGCGTGGGTTTTGTGTGGACTTTCTGAAACAAAAACTAAAACATGCTTTTGATCTTTCTCACTTCCAGAGGCATTTCTATAGGCTGTGCTAATTTTACCCAGATTTTTTTTAAAATTAAGACTGAGATTATACTGCTTGAAAGCTCTGTATGTCTACTCGCTTCTAACTACCTTTCATAGTAGGGTTTTTTCTGTTAATCTTATCTAATTCTAGTAAATGTAAGTTGCATTTTTTGATATGCTAATTCTTTTTTCTCTCTTGTATTTTATAGATAGGGATTTCTTTTCAACCTGCTGAGGTACAGAAGAATGTTTATGCATCTGTAATAGAAGATATGATTTTAAAGGTAAGAAATTACTTCACAGGAAGGACTTGTCTGTAATTGTATTAACTCAGCAATTAGAAAAAAAGATGGAATATCTTTATTAACGGGCATTTATCAAATTAAAGTCTGTCTTTCTGTATGAATAGATAGATAAATATCTGCCCAAAAAGGGTTCTACACTTTTGTGTGGGTTTTCAGTTTTCTGACTGGTTTGTTGGCTTGGACACGGAATAGTGATTTGCAAATTCTCGCCACCACTAAGATACTGACTCATTCTGTAACTTTGAAAGTACTTCTTGCTTTGTCCTTCCCTTCAGAACTGGGTGGGAATCTTTCAGATTCTGTAAGACTTGATTGCTTTATCCAAGGTTAGCTATATTTTCCTAAATACTGCTTAGTTACTTTGCCCAGGTTGTCTCTGCTGGGAGACTGCTGAATTCCTGCGGAGAGTAGCAATTCTGCCATGAGTGAGAAGCTATTTCTCTATCATAACCACTTCTGGAAAAACAGAGAAATGGTTTTGCACCAAAATTTAAACAGCAGGGATCTGGAGTTCCTGGGTTTAGACTGAAGGCTAACACAGATTATTTCTAGCAGCACTCTGGTGTATTTCATGCCAAAGATTATTTTGGGGTTATTTATACAGACTGCAGCTTTCAGAAGCTGAGTTTTACAAAAGCTGATTGATTCCAGGTGACACATGCACTCGTGTGCATGCCTGTGCTATGCTCCCTATTACTTGCCACAGTTGAACTCTGATGCAGATACATCCATTTGTAGACACAGATTGTAGCCATCAGGTTGCTCCACTATAATTGTAGAGTTATGCCAGCTTTCCTCACTGAATGTTGCAGAAACCTCTCCTCTGGTCTGGATACAGCACAGAAAGCCAAGAGCCTTAATTAGCTTTTGACCTGAACCTTGGTTAAACCAAGTGTTGGGCATATGGCTGCCCAGGCTGAGAGGTTTCTGTGAGGGTGTCTTGACACAAGCCTGGTAACACAGGGAGAGGGCTGGGATGCAGGTATTGGTTCCCACGAGAATATCTGCGGTCTGCCATGTACAAAACCTGCTCTGGTGTGTGAGAGGAAAGGTCCTGAAATGCTCCTGGAAGCTCAGGCTCTGGAACACTTGATCCACCCTGCTGGGCATGTACAGCTCCGCAGGTCTTGAGGGAAAGCAGGCTGGGCAGTTGCAGCCTGAGCTCTGTGCACCTCTGGCTCTCTTTCTGTTAAATAAACTCATGTCTTAAGTAATAAAACTCACTTGGGCATCTTGAACTGCCCTGTGCTGATCATTTGAGGATTGAAGCTAGCCAAAATTTCAGCTGCTTTTTACACTGATACTTGAGCAAATAGCAAGTTCCTTTGCTCTTTTTGTCATGCTGCCTCCTAATGCTGTCTCTTGTCTCAGGCCACTGAACAGCTGATGAGTGATATCCTACGGCAAGCGCTCGCTGTGGCGTACCAGACAGCTCCTCACAACAGGTACAGCATGGGGCTGCTCTGCCACCACTCACACTGGCACTGAGGGTGTCATGGCTTCAGGAATTTAGACAGGCTTTGTGTGGCTCAGACCACAACACTGAGGGAATTTATGGACTATTCTCTGAGAAAAACTGAGGCAGGGTTCTCTGGTGTTGCCTTGCCTCAGAGGCAGATGACCTGTTTCTGCAGAGGCACACTGGAAGGACTTGCTCACTCTTGCCCATCTCAGGTTACTGTGTAGACAGCTTAGCCATGGCCTGCTGGAACTTAACCTAAAGAATCTCTTTATTTTACTGATACACACTTTTCTGCCTCAGATGCTGAGTGATTTTTATAAAATCATAAAATGATTTGGACTGGAAGTGACCTTAAAGATCCACTTGTTCTACCCCCCTGCCACGGGCAGGGACACTTTCCACTATCTCAGGTTGCTCCAAGCCCCATCCAACCTGGCCTTGAACACTTGCAGGGATGGGGCAGCCACAGCTTCTCTGGGCAACTTGTCCAGTGCCTCACCATCCTCAACAGTAAAGAATTTTTTTTTAATACCTAATGATGAGGCCACATTTTGATTTCTGTTCAGCAGCATGATTTGGGATAACTTAAAATGATTTAAAAGAACCCAAACACTATGAGAAAACTCTCAGTTTAAATATTCACTTGTATGCTATATAAATATTTACATAATATATTAAAAATTATGTAAACATGTTATATATAGAAGTACTCACACACAACAGTTGTGCTATACAAGTTCAAGAATTCATACTTTAGAACTTGATTTTCCTGTCCCATTGCCCAAGAGGTTCCCCCCAGTCATTTGAGTGGCTTTTTTTGTGCTGTGATATTTTAATGCTTTCCCTGCATTGCTCTAACTCCTGCTCTTGTATCCTTTTTTTGCTTTGATTGTTATTTTTGACTTGCTGCTTTATAGACCTGTGGTTTTTTGTGTATTATAATAGCATCTCTGATGCATTCCCTGCAGGACTCCAAGAGAGATCACAGTGATGAATATTCACAAAGCCATCTGTAATATTCCCTTTCTTGACTTCCTCACAAACAAACATATGAAGATACTAAATGAGGAGCAATGAAATAGAGCAGAGAAGGTGCTACAGGAAAGGTGGATTTATGACTGAAGTTGGGCTGACAAATCCAGTATTTCTGTAGGACACTATTACATTTATAACATTGGGCTACTAGATTGTTACCTCCAATTAAAGATGCACCTTAATGCAACAAAATGATGCTCTGTTCCAAATCAAGTTGTTAAATGTCAGTGTTTACTTGGTAAGTGTATGTTCAGTGGCTGAACAAACATTGTCAGTTTGCATCGAGTTGCTAGCTGTGAGAGACTCCACAGGCCTGGTCCCTCTGAGACGGCTCTGCTGGTGAGACTAAACTGGTTTTTAAGATGAGAAATGATGTTTTTTAATGCAGTCTACATATGTATTGGTTTGCCTATGCAGTGAGCAGGGCACGTGCTTTGGCACTTTGAATATGGGAAAAGTCAAAGGCAGCTCTGTAAGGTGGGCCATTTGAGTAGATGGGTGGATTAGGTGTGGGCTGGGGGGAGTAGAAGGCTGATGGCAACAGCAGATTTGGCCATTCTTGCCTGAGCATGATGTGTGTGACTGAGAACACAGCTGTGTAGGTTTGTCAGCAGCGTACTCAGCTAAGTGTCACCTCACCAAATTCCTTGCCTCTCTAGAGGAGGTGTCAGGTGCCACCTTTCTTAGTCACCTTGGAAAGGGTGATCCTCAAGCAAGATGAACAAACCATGATCAGGAAAGATTTGACTGACCACTTGTCCTGCATGGGAAAGGAGAGGAACAAAGACAATATTCAGGGTTTGTGGGCTTGGGCTGGCCGAAATGCTTTGCTTGCCCAGCGAGTACCTCCCCAGGCTGCCAGAAGGTTTGAAGAGTGCTGGAGGGCAGATGACCAGGGGTGTTGTACAAGTCTTAATGTTGTAGCAGTGTTCACCAAGTATCAGCCTAAACTGTGAAGTGCTGTGGGAGCAGCACTGCTTTGGCTTAAGTTCTGTTAAACACAAGAGGCCAGGTAGGATCGAGCAATCAAAGATTTGCTGCTTGTGGGGAGATCTTCTGATGTCTTCACTGCAGGAAGAAGTTCTGCTACTAACCCCAGCACTTACCTGTCTCAGGAACACCACTGGTGAGGGAGACATGTCTGCAGCCTGGCTATCAACACCTTGCTGAAGAAAGCTTCGTTGACAACATCCTGACCACCCCACATCCACTACCCCTTTGTTCTGCCCCATGGGTGCTTGCTGGTAGCGTGAATAAGCCATTGTGAAGTTGGTGGGACTCCTGTGGGACTGTTGTGCTTTCAGCATGCTTGTTTTGTCTGGCAGTGCTGTCATGGGTGGAGCATGGGCCAAACAGCCAGAACCTCCAGTGTGCTGATCTCAGCTGGGTCTCTGATCTGCTGCATGGCCTTTGATTTAATCACTCTGTGCCTCAGTTTCCCCATCTCTGAGCATGGGGAGCAGGATACCTACCTCACAGGGGTGTACTGAGGCCTCGCTCTTGTTGGTGCCGTGCTTTGACAATACAAAGCCTTTTATAAACATTAAACTACAGTTATCTTTCTTGGCCTGGGGTAGGAGCAGAATGTTATCTTATGGTGCTTTTTTGGGGCTAGAACACATGCAATGGTAACTACAGTAGCATGCAGGAACTGTGAAAAATGCTTCAGTTAGAGGCTTCAGACTTGGAAGGAGGGTAGTGTAAGTTTGACGCAGCTGTTAAACTGAAGAAAGCACTGTGTACCTCAGATGGGATGCCACCTGTCTTCTCCACTTTAAATAAAACTGGGGTCTGCAGGAAAGCCCCTCTCAGTTCATCGCAGCTAACAGGGAGCTGCAGTTCAGTTGAATATAAGAGTGGCAGAACCTGACCCCTGAATCTAGGAAATGGGACCAATGGATAAAATCCAAACAGCATTCAGAGAAGGACTTAAATGCTCCCTAGGAAGGACATTACAGATGCTCTGGATTCAAAAGCTAATCCTGGCTTGTTCGGGTGAGCTGAGTGCAGGATTGCCTGTGAAAGGAAAGGGCACAGCTTAGCCCTGACATTACTTTATCAGCGGAAGTCAGTGTGACGGAGTTGAGCAGCAGTGATTGTTTCAGCTCAGTGTTGAGTTGGGAGGAATCCAGATAGCTGGGGGGAACTGTAGGCCCCCTGCTTTTGTAGGCTATAGTGAACTTGGTGTCTGCTGCTTTCAGGCACCCCTGTACACTTTATGAAAGAGAAGGGCATTTTCAAGATCCCTGTCACTATCACAATAGCCTGCAGGTTCTGTGGGAGCAGCCTTTTGGGCAAACTCAGTCATGCTATGATCTGTAATGACCTCGAGTACTGTGTGCAGTTTTGGGTGCCACAATATAAAAAAGACATTAAACTATTGGAGAGCATCCAAAGCAGGGCCATAAGGATGGGGAAGGGTCTGGAGGGGAAGCTGTAGGAACAGCTGAGGTCACTTGGTCTGTTCAGCCTGGAGGAGATGGAGGGGAGACCTCATTGTGGTCTTCAGCATCCTCCTGAGGGGCAGGTACCAGTCTCCTCACTCATGAGTAGTGACAGGATCCAAGGAAATGGCATGAAGTTGAGTTAGAGGAGGTTTAGGTTGAGTATCAGGAAAAGATTCTTCACCCAGAGGGTGGTTGGGTACCGGAACAGGCTCCCCAGGGCAGTGGGCAAAGCACCAAACCTGTCTGAGTTCAAGATGCATTTGGACAACGCTCTCAGACACGTGGTGTGACTTGGGGTGACCTGTACAGGGCCAGGAGTTGGACTCGGTGATCCTTGTGGGTCCCTTCCAACTCGGCGTGTTCTGTGATTCTGTACACATGCATTTCCAGCCCCTTTCTCCTGCAGGCTTTGTTTCTGGGACTCTGATAACACCCAGAGCAGCTTTTGAGGATGCAGGAGCTCATTTTTGGGCATCTGTTTGCAAATTGTGGCTTCTTTGCCTGTGTCCTGCTTTTCTGTAAGGAATGGAGTTTCAGAAAATGTCTTGAACCTGGCCCTCAAGCAGGCAGGTACATACCCCTCTTAATGGGGAACTTGTAGTGGAGATCTATTCCTACGTTTCTGAGCAACCACAGGTTATTCTCCTAGGAGGTGCTATATTATTAGTATATAAAGTTTGCTGAAGAAAAATAAACTGTTAAAAGCAGATAGAAAATGACACATTTGTTTAGTTCTTCAGATGTAGGAAATGTTTGCAACAAGTTCTTTGCATATTGAATAGTGGTGGGAGAAAAATTTGTTGATGAGAAGTTCCTGTGGGAATTGCTTGGAGATAAGGTAGAGGTTGTGGAATTTCACACATCCCTTCAGGTGTTTGTGGATGCGTGTGTGCTACAGGTGCGGTGTGCTGAAACGTTATGGTATATTTCTCTGACTTTCTGAAGAGTTAAAGATCTCTTTACGAATATTGCCCCTATTTGTAATGCTGAGTGTTTAATTCCTTCATGTTATCTGTATTATACTGTATAATTGTGTAATATACATATGTTTACAATAAAATCTTTTATTAGCTGTGGTAGGATTGTCTTGACTGTCACCTGTCACTCAAAGTTTCTCCAGATCCACAGATATTTTTGTGCTCTGTGTATTCAGAATGTTGCAGTTAGTTCTGGATAAGAATTGGTAATTGAGGAATTTATCTGAAGGAAAAGGTAATTTTCCCCTTTTCAAGGGGAAAGTTATTTTAAAAAGCTCCTGGTTTTAGAAGCTGGGGGCAGGGAAGCCATGAGCTGAGCTCCTCCAACCTTTTGATCCCAGAGCAGCCTGCTTAAATAGCAAGTCATTGGTTTGTGTGGAAGACTTTTGAGAAGTACGGTGGGTTGAGGTTGGCCAGCTGCCGGACACCCACCCAGCCGCTCTCATTCCCCTTCAGAATTCAAGAGAAAGTAACATGTCTCATGTGAGTCAGGATAATGTACCACAGAATCACTACGTTTGGAAAATACCTCTAAGGTCACCAAGTCCAGTTGTCATCGCCAAGCCCACCGTTAACCATGTCCACAAGTCCCACATCTACATGTCTTTTAAATGCCACCACAGATGGGGATGCCACCAATGCCCTGAGCAGATCAACGAAATCAGTAGATAAAACCAGGGACATCGTGACTGGTTACTGCCATAGGCAAAACTGGCTCAACTTGGTGAAAATTAGTTGAACTTACTGCCAAATCGAAGCTGGGTGATGAGAGGCAAAGGCCAAAAAAACCGCCAAGACAGCCTCCCCACCCCTCCCCCGCAAAAAAAAACCACAAACGGGAAAAAAGCCCCAAAATGCCTCAAAATGCTTTCCCCTCGACTTCTTTTCTTTCTCAGACGGATGTCTTCAGTCCTTCACCGCTAACTGCTGCCTCTCCCCTCTCTAAGACCCGGCTCCTCCGACGGCTTCAGCAGCCCGAGGGCTGGGGGGACCGGCGGTGTCCGGAACGGGGCAGCCCCTCCCCTCACATAGACCTCTCCTTAGAGACCTCCCCACAGCTCCCTCCCCTCAGAGACCCCCTCTCACAGACCTTTCCTTAGAGATTCCCCTCAGAGACCCCCCCACAGCTCCCTCCCCTCAGAGATTCCCCTCAGAGACCCCTTCACAAAGAACCTTTCCTTAGAGATTCCCCTCAGAGATCCCCCTCACAGCTCCCTCCCCTCAGAGACCCCCTCACACAGACCTTTCCTTAGAGATTCCCCTCAGACCCCCTCACAGCTCCCTCCCCTCAGAGACCCCCTCACACAGACCTTTCCTTAGAGATTCCCCTCAGACCCCCTCACAGCTCCCTCCCCTCAGAGACCCCCTCACAGAGACTTTCCCTCAGAGATTCCCCTCAGAGATCCCCTCACAGCTGCCTCCCCTCACAGCTTCATCCCCTGAGATTCCCCTCAGAGACCCCCTCACAGAGACCCCCTCACAGCTCTCTCCCATCAGAGATTCCCCTCAAAGACCCCCACCACTCCCTGCCATCGCTGGGCACCAGCACTTGACGCGGACAAGTTTTTGAACCGAAAGAGTAAAGTTACTAAACTTCTGTGTTCTCTCCGCCCTGCGGGGGGGAGCCGTGGGTCTCTGTGAACAGACTAACGCTCCGCTCCGTTGTTTTTGGAAGAGCTGTGCTCAATGCCACAGAAGTGCCTCCTGCCCTGGAAGTAAACACAGCCTTTCTGGGCTGCGTGGCACCAGCAATCCATTTGTGGCAACTCAGGTTGGTCCTTAGGATCAGACATTACCGCAGCGGCCAAGGTAGAGGAAATGGGTATGAGTAAGGTACAGGTGATAGGTTTGCATCGGATTCTTTGCTCTCAAAGAAATTATGAGATGCAGAGAGAAATGTGCAGTTTATGAAAGCAAGCAAATCAGTTATGTGCTGCTTGTGAATTTTGCAAGTTCACAATAAGAACTCTCCTGAGTAATGGTGTATTTCCCACATCAAAGTTTACACTGAGCATGTGGCAGTGTAGGTATTCACTGCTCCCTGACACAAAACTCACCTTCAGCATCACAACAGGCCAGGTGTCAGCAGGATTAAACAAAACAAGCAGGTTCAGTGTCACTCTAGAGGTAGTAAATTCTAAAGTTACACTTATAAACCCTTCTTTTTTAAAGGACATTTCTTTATGTATCAAATAACCCTTACTTGCAGTGTGATTCACAGTCGAAAATCCTTGAGGGACTTGGACATGGGCCCAGAGCAATTGGGAAGACAAATACTAGTGTGAGAGCAGTGTTGGAAGCAATCCTGGCATCACGACTCCCTGGAGCTTGCAAAACTCACGTAGATTTGACTTCTTCAGAGGAACTTGCTGTGATACCTTTCAATTTGTCTGAGGCAGGTGCTTTTCATACAAAATCAGGTAAGTTGCAGACATTGACAGCCAGTGGCACCATCCTGGACCTTACAGTGGTAAGTACCTGCTCACTTTTCCATCTGTTCATTGCTCATGTACACTGAGCAGAAGCTTGTGAGCCTTTGGCTTTCTCCTGGAAGTCTTTTGAGGCGTAGCTAGAAGAGGTATTGCACTGTCTAGGGAAGCTGGTTGTATCTTCAGCACTTTCACTGACTGAAATGTACATGGGAAAAACTGTAAAGCAATGCTCTCTTAACATTCAATGCTATCACCTTTTCCTCTGATTTATGTGAGATGACAGAGTGAAACTAAGGTGAAACTTAACAGGGCACCGTGTGAATACTGCAGAAAGGGTTCTTCAAAGCATGGCATCTACATCAAAGTGGATCAAACCTCTGTGTGTTTCATAGGGAATGCAGCTGGGCCACAGCTCTGAGTGTGCCTTCAAGCTGCCCTTGCTGGGGGCTGTGCCTGGGGAAAAGCTCCAGGAGTAAGGAATTGACTGCTGCTGGCACTGAATGCATCCCCAATGCCTTGCTTGGTGCTCAGTGTGCCCTGCTGTCATGGAGTGACAAATTGTACTATAAGGCTGACAACCCAAGGGTTGTATTTTACAACAACAACAACAGAAAATATGGGAGAGAACCAATAGCCAAAATACATTTTAATTTATTAAATTAAATCCAGTCCATTTGATAAAATACAAGCTTACTATATTACCGATTTGTTTAAACCTGGGTCATATTTTTAAGAAATACAGTCAATTAAGAAGAGATAATAGACAATTTCCTTTTTACTTTTTTTCCCCTTGCTGTTAATAAAGTCCAGGATTGAAATGAACTTAAATTGTTTGAACAAAACTGCTAAAAACGTTATAAAGAGATTAAACAAGCAGATTGAATTCTTAGAAACATCTAACATGCAAAACTTTTAGCACAGTTTGAATGCTTCAATGAATTTCCTGAAAAATGAATTTCCTGAAAAATTATTTTGGCAAGCACTGGGATTACTGCAGGTTTCTCCAAGGATGAGTGTGGGAAGATCCATCCCTTGTCCCAGCCAAATGCAGATTACTGCAGGTGTTCCCTGTTCTGGTGGTTGTGCTCAGTCCCACTACAGTGAACACCATTAAATTCTCACATAATGCAGTGAGAAGATGCTGTCTGCATGTATTGCAAGTACAATTCACATGCCAACAGCTCAAAAATTGTTCTTATGGGAATTATCAGCAATGCATATGTTTCCTGCAGAATCCCTGAAGTTCATTAAATTTGCTTTAGACTTCAATTAGTAAGAAGTTCAAGAAAAAGTCCTCCTGTGTTGAAAGTCTGTTTCATTACAGATGAATGAATATCTGATCACTGTTAAAGTCTGAGGATAGTTTCCCTTTGTTCTGGACAACACACATGTGTTGCAAACACAAAGTAAGAGTTTTTCAATTTTTTTTTTCCAAAATAATTAGTAAATCCATTAAATAAGCAGTAGACTAATTATATTGCATAAGTTATCGAAATAGAAATTGTAAAGTCTCAATGAACAAAGGCTAAAAAAATGTTTTCTTAAAACACATGTACCTCAGCAAAAGTTAAATATGCAGCAGTCTAAAAAAATCAGCTTCAGAACAATGACATTTGAAACGGCCTATCTTAAAAATGACAGATGGCTTACATTCTACATTACATTTTTCTTTAAGAAGAATTTCTAAGTAACATTCGCTTGTGGTTGTTCCTAGCATTAGCATTACCAATATACAGGCGATAATTTAGGAATTTCAAGGCAATATTTTCCACCTTGCATATGCAAAGAGTTAACATTTATTAAAAGTATAAGCATATCCTTTTCATTAAAGGATCACAAATTGCTTTAGGTAAAATCCATGTACAATATTTACAGTCACCCTAACAGCTGTACAAATTATGTAAGTATCCTAGATCCTCTGGAGGAGTCTGGTGGGTGCCTGGCTGTATCCATGCACTCTTCTCCAAACCAGTTTGGTGCACTGCTGTCAGGGCTGTCTCCTGGAGTGGTCCTCTCTTGCTCCTGCATCTGCTCTCCAATTTTGGTAATATCCAGCTTCCCAGCCTTAAAGGCCCAAGACACTGCATGTGCCAGATTTATTTTAGAGTTCAATGACATTGGCTTCCTCCAGCTTCTAAAACAACTCTGGAAGTTCAGACCAGCCCCTTCAAAGCTCTACTTTCTGGTGATGCCATTTGAGGTCCTACTCCCAAAACCCCTCAAGAATGTCAGAAGTCAGCCAAACTACTCCCTGTCTTTCAGCAGCCTACTTAGAGGGTGTTGCTAAATAAAACTGGTTTGGGTTTTAATTATCCATCCTGCTTGCAATTGTTTTCCCTCCTACCCTGTGTATTTCTGAGTAGGGATGTTGCCTGCAATCCTGCCTTTGCTGCCCAAAGTCAATCTCCTAATGTGACGCCAGCTGGCATAGTAATGAACCTGCTCCTGTGAAAAACTAGGTCACTCCTCGCAGCGTGTTTGCCAGTTCTGAACCAAGCGCTTTGCGGTTTGTTGTGTTAACAGAAAGTGTGTGTGCACATCATTAATCACTGGAGCTGCTTTTGATAACACCGGTTCTTTGATCTTAACACTCCTCATGAAAGTTGCATAGTGATACATCTTAACAGAAACTCTGCATTTAAGCTGTCTGGGTGTGAGGAGGGTCCAGGTTCACACGTTGAGGATCCGCGATGGCGCCTGGAAAACAGCAGAAGGGTTGGGGGAGAATCTGGTCTTCACCTCTGGGATCTAGTGGGGTGAGGAAGGGAGAAAAGCATTAGTGTTACACAGGATACAACTGTCTAGAGAGTTTAAGGGTCCTGGGGTGTTGTGAGGATCTACATGCTCTCCTTGTAACCACTACCCAGGTGTTAGCCCCTGGCTGGGCATCAATGAGACTGGCCTTGCTGTACAGGGGGATTCAAGGGCAGGTGTGATGCTGGGCCAGTGAGGAGGGGTGTGGTTGTAACCCAGCCCTTGGACCTTGAGGTGTGTGGTGTGATGGGGATAACCATGCCTGGGCAGGCCTTGGCTGGACCCAGCCTCTGCAAGATGAAGAGCTGTCTCTTCACAAAGCCCTGCTGGCAAACACTCTATGAGCATCACAACAAATTCACAGCTGGATGGGTGCTGGATTTAAGTGAGAGGAATTACAGTGGTGTGCATCTTGTCCTTAAGCTTTTGGGGAGTGCCATCCAGGCTCCACTAAAATGTTCCATTACGGGCCACAGTCTGTGTCTGCTGTGAATAGAGGTGCAGACCTGGAGAACCCAAAGGAGAAAAATTGGTTACTGGACCTTCCAGGCTGGTTAAACTGCAAGGACTTGGATAAGGATGTAAACTTCTTACACCTGGAGGAAAGGCAGAGATAACAATGGTTGCTTTCTCTGATGTCTGTGGAATCAGAATTTCATGCAATATGTAGCTCCTGTAGTTGTACTGAAGCATGAAGGACACCTGGATGCTTCTGTCATCCCTAATGTTGAAAACTCAAATGATTTTATATAGGACTGGCCATAGATGTGCATCCAGCCCAGGAGTCAGGGTGAGTCTGGCCATAAAACATGAAAGGGTCAAAAGCTTTGCTGGGTATGCTGATGGCACCATCCAAGCAGAGAAAAGAGCACAAAACTGCAGGCAAAGAGTGTACAGGGAAACAGGGAAAGCTATTGATCTCTGGTTGATGTTTCATTGTTCTGATTTTTCCATTCCTCTGGGGATGCATCTGACACACTAAGGAACAAGTGAGATGTCACAAACAGCATATACACAGCTCAGTGGCTGGGGAGAAGCAGCAGCCTGAGTCCTACCTGTAGCTGTCAGGACATACCATAAACCAAATTCCCACATGTCTGGCAAAGTCCGGGGCTTCAGGTAAGAGTGAAAGTCCTATTGGCCAGGTGTGAACCAGGGAGTCTGACTTCTCTTTGGACTGGTGGCTTTTTGGAACTGTCTTCATTCCTGACTACACCTTTGCCAAGCTGTCTGTTAGAGAGACTGTGATGGTGCCCTGGGGCCGCAGGACACGGGACCTATGCTTGCATCGTTCAGAGTGCAGTGTTCTTGGTAGCATGTGTTTGTGTCTAGGATTCTAGTCTTCTCTTTCCCTTCCTCAACAAATGAGATAGGGACCTTCAGGGGTTTATCGTGGACCCCCTTTGCATCCAATCTGGCAAACTGGAAAACACTGTATTTTGAATCCTTAGGGTCAAAATGCAAAATTAAATCAACAAGGGTCAAATACAAGGTTTAAGGGTTAAATGCAAGGTCTATCATCATTGCTGCACCTCAATAAATAGCCCAGACTATTCAGAGCAAGGAAGAAGTTTTGGTGAGGTTTGCAAATTCTGTTTTGCCTGAGGTCACTGTCCCACTTTCAGCAGAACTGGCTATACCCATCGTGAGCCTTGTTGCAGCAGTGTGCCAGCAGTCCTCTGCGGAGGAGGCACTTGACTGTCTGCTGATTAAACACTTCTTCCTTGTCTCCTCCAAGGCAAAGATTTACTTTTCACACGTGGCCCTGGAGTAGCTGCTGTTACCTCTACTGGCACAGCACACTGCGGCTGGGGAGTTCAGCCCCAGCCCTGGCTCTGCGTTCTGAGTCATTCAGTGCAGCCTGTGAACAATTCCTGTGGCTGGCTGGGAGATGCTGTTCTCTTTGGTGGTCTAATGTAAAAAGCAGCTAAAACACAGCCTTGTCAGTGTGCACTTTCCTTTATTCTGGGGTTGGGAAGTAGGGGGGCCCTGTCAGGGAAGCACAGAGTGTTTCCTTATGGGATTTTCAGTAGCACATGCATTTCACATCAAGAAAATTATCTTTGCTGGTATAGAGAAACTCACAGAAAAAAAATGTAGAAACTCACAGGAAAATCCCAAGGAAGTCTCAGAGCTGTGCAGCTTGTCTGTTCATCACAGCCATGTCCTCCTTGGCATTCATAGTGGGAGCAGCTTCTGCCCACACCAGCAAGGGAGAGTTTTGTGCTGTCTGGGCAGGTGCTGCTCACTAGGCAGTGATCTGCAAAGGTTCCCAAGCAAACACCTGTGCCCAGAGGCTGACTCACTCTGCAGCCCTAGTGCTAGTCCACACTGACTGCTCCAAGCTAGTGCAGAAGGTGTTAATGACACCTTTCACACATAGATGTGGTGACACACACCTTGTACATAAAGTATCCAACTGAGGGAATCATAAATCTTGAACTTTCTGTTATGCAGTTTAAAATTTTTGTTTTGGGTTGAATTCTGATCAGTTACAGTATGACATTGTCTAGCATGCCTTTCTGAAGGCAAGGGATGGCCACATTACCTAATGGGCAGTGACAAAACAGTTGTCAGTGAGGATGTGGCTTTATGCACTACAGCAATCAAATATGAGGATTTCCTGATGGGTACTTTGGGAACTATTCACACTGACTTTAGGACTTTTAAAAACTGCTAATTACCTTAAAGTCTGCCTTGTAGCTTGTCTCTTGAACAAAATGGTCTTCTGGGATAATGAAGCCTTGTTTTGACTTTATAGGCTTGGATGGTTTTGCTCCAGTCCATGGACGATACTCTTGTCTGAAATGAGATTGTCAAGACAGAAGAATTTGTAAAAGACAACATTTTCACAGGGCACTTCTGCTCAGAGCAGTTGCAAAGCCAGAAGGCAAGGTGGGATACAATCAAGGTTAAACTTGTCTGAGGCATACCGAGCATGAAAGAACTGAGCCTAGCAGCCTGTTTCTCTCAGAAAGCCCAGACTGAAAGATGGAACAGGGCACAGACTGGGCTAGCCGGATTCCCTGATTTAACTCTTCTTTTTTTCCTACAAAATGTGCTCTCCTGGAGGTCACTGATGCTTCCCTCCTGGATAAGAAGTCAGTGTAACTTTTTGCATGCTCACCCACTGACCACTTACAATGTAAGTGTAACGCTGTTTGGTACGTTGGCCACTTACACTGTAAGACACCTTGGTCTGGTGTTTGGCCCTCACATATGCGGAGAGCCTGCTGATGTTGCCATACCTGGCTGTGGCTCTCTCAGCAGCAGGCCAGTGTGTGCTGTGCTGCACAGCTGTGGCAGCTCAGTCTGAAATGCATCCAAAGGGAGACACCGTCTCATGTGGCAGATGCTTACGCTGATGATTTTCTTTCACATGGGGGAAAGTGCTTTAAATCTGCATGATGATGCCTGAGAAGGCATTGCTGCTTCAAGAATAAGTCAGCCAAGGGTCATCTGAGAAATGGGAGCAGAGACTGCACTGAGAAAGGGGCAGCACCCTTTGAGAGCACTGAAGTACAGCATTGCAGGGTCTGCTCTGCTGCCAGTTCCCTTCTGCAACTTTCCCTCTGCTTCTCTGCACCCCATGTCACAAACAGGCCTCAGTAATGCCCTTGCCATTACGACTTTCTGGATGCTGCAGTAGCAGCCAACTGAGCTGTCTTGTTGCTCAGAGGAAGACAGAAGTCTGCTCTGTTTGTGTGTGTATCTCTGGCAACCAATTCAGGCAGCTTCTGTAGCAAAAGGAGAGGTGACTAACCGAGATGTGACAATCTTATTTTCATACCCCGGCATGGTTCAATAACCGCATTTTACTACCTGCTTATGCACAGGATCAAGGGGTAAGACTGAGGCTTGTTTTAATGTGTCAAGCAAATCTTTGACCACATCCTTTCTGAGTTTCATTTTCCCAAGCATGCTATTTGCTGTATTTATAATAGCTGCAATTTCCTCTTTTAAATAGATATCTAACTTAAAGTGCATGAGTGTGGAGTATTATTTTAGAATGCATGGTTTGGAATTGATCCTTTTAGTATATTATAGATAATGTCCTATGGAAGAACTTCCTGCTGTTGGAAAGCAAAGCCAGGCCCCTGTCAGAGCTGTCTATGTGCATTGCAAATCTTGTTTATAATTAGTTTGTTCTTGCTGTCCTGAGCTGTCACCTTCTGCCTTCTCTGTACCATGCTGTTTGGGCCTGCTCAGGCAGCAGGTGAGTGCCCATGCAGCTCCCCTGGTTCCTGCTCCCTTCCTGTAACACCTCAGGATAAGGCAGCACTTTTGAAGAAAGGTGATTTTGGCCAAGTGATGCCCCAAGAAGGCAACCTTTCAGCAGGGAATCCCAGATGTGAATGAAAGCAGAGTTAAATCTGACCTCTGTTCTGCTGCACAGCCAGAGGGAGGACACAGCTACTGGGCAAAATACCAGCAAAATGGTACAAAACCATCAGTTACATCCCCGCAGTTTCTAGGAACTGGAACCTGCTGCTCCACATAAAGGCTGATTTCCTCAAGAATGCTGGTGGCATTGATTCCTAACCATTCATCCTTGTGCTGACTGGTCTCCCCACTGCAATGGAGTGTGTCTACAGCTTTCAATGAATGACTGTGCTGCCTGCCTGTGCAGCCAACTCTGTCTCAATGCTTTATAGCAGATCATTTGCTGATTTGGCAGGCCCCCAAACACAGTCCTTTTGGATCACAAGACCCTCATTTTGGCTGGAAGTCAAAAATTCTCATCTCAGCCTGGATAGTCAAAACTATTTTTGAGGCACCTACATGCACTGAGGAAATGCTCCCCACAGAATCAGAAACATAAGAGCAGATACAGTCATGGCCCACACCACAGCAACATTTCTGATTTGGAACTGGGATTTTGCTCTGGGAGAACCCAGAACTCCGAGCAAAACTGAAGGGCAGAGCAAAACAGAGACAACTTAGCTTAACTCCTTTTGGGAGCTGAGATACTTAAACCAAGAAAGGAATATTATAACCTTTGGTTGAGAAAGTGTGGCTAACTAAATTTGCTCTGCCTCTAAGCTTGCATGACACATGTTCCCATCCCCAGCTGCATAGCCAAGAGTCAGAAGGAACATGAGCCCAAATATCAGTCTGGTGACTTGACTAGAAATCAGTCTTGGTGTCATGAGTGGAGTCAATCTCATCAAGGCCTGGGGAAGAGGAATTACCTTCTTTTTAATGTTACTTAGTTTAAGATGTCAAGTGACAAGATTAGTGACTATCTTCCCCTTTGTATGCTGTGTAGTGTGACATCCAGCTGCTGCTGTGGATGAACATGCAAGACTGACTGTTGCTGCTCAAGATAGTAATCTTCATCCTTCCCACTGCACCCCTCTCTTCCTCCCCTTGTTCCTGGACAGCAGCAGCTCTCATGTTCCTTTGGGGCTGTAAGGACCTGCAGTGGAGGGACAGTAATCTCCCAGGCCCAGAACTCGGTGACCAGGCTCTCTTTTGGTTCTGTTTGTCCTCCACTCTTACAACCTAGAGATTTTTGATCTCCATAAATACAAATGACCCAGTGGTACTTGAAGTACTAAACCACTGGAGTTGTGAAAAAGAAAGACCTCCTGAGTAGCACACAGGCTTTAAAACACTAGGGAACAAAAGGGAAGGGCTGCTTTTTGTGTACTGCTGTTTCTTTACCTCTAACTCACTCTAGGATGAATTAAGAAGCAGCTTCTTGCATGTGGGTTGCCCCAGTGCTTTAATCATACAAATCACTGCTCTTTCAGCTGTTTCTGTGCTCTTTCTCAAAATTAGTTAATAGAGCCTGAGAAAAGGCATTTCTTTTGTAATGTGTGGGGATGTGTCTGCAGGGGAAGGTTTGAATCAGCACAGTGTGGAAAAGGAGGCTTGTGGCCTGCTGGGACAGTTTACCTCCTGTGGTGACGAGAGATGGAGCAAGTGGGAGTACAAATAATGTATAGGCTAGAAACAAAAAAAACCCAAAACCACTGGATTGTTAATTACCATGGTGTTGTGATGAAGCCCAGCATTGATGAGAGCTGTTTCACTGAGCTGGTGTTTATGTGCCACCTCCTCCCCTGGGTGAGCAGGACTGCCTGTACCAGGCTCTCAAACAGCTGAGACTGGAGACCAGGCAGAGAAATGTCCCCACCATCATTCATCATGTGGCCTCACAGACTTCAGGGCATGATTTGGGAATGGTGGATTTGGGATTGGTCTTTCTGTTCTTTCCAAACACAGTGTCTGCTGCTGCAGCTCAAGCTGCTGGATACTATGAACTACATGATGACCAGCTATGTGCCTCCAGCTCTTCCCCCATTTCATGTGCTCTGCTAATGTTTTCTGCTCTGCAAAGCAGAGAAAGCTGTCTGCAAAATCCGTTTTATTTCACTGACCTAGGGAAATTCTAGCCTAGAAGGCTTTTTAATTTCATCAAGGTGGAGGGCACTTCTGTTAGGCACAGGGAGGCACAGTGGGAATCCCAGCAGGGCTGTTTGCAGTGCTGGGGCTGCTGTTTCCATACAGATTTATCTTCAGCACTGATAGTCATACACCACCAATGCCAGAACAGTTGTCATTTTAGTACCTGATCTTTATGTCAAAATTTGCTTCGCATGATTAATTAGCAGTGGCAGTTCTGAGCCACTGTATAACATTTCTTATTAAAGAATTGGAGAAAAAGGCTCAATCTGTATAGCTGACTGCAACTCAAAGCTGTGCTGCCTGACCTAGTCTGTGTCTATTCTTCTGCCCTCTTCCTTCTCATACCCAGCACACTAGTGAGAATTAAACAGGATAATAAACATTCTTCCAAATTTCCCTTCAGAAAGAAATTTGTGTACACAGCTTGGGCTGCCTATTATTTTCCAAAAGAAAATACAAACTACTCTAGATGTCCCTTGGGGAAGCCAAACTGGTGTGGGAGAGGTTTTGGCAGAAGGTGTGGGGTGTGAAATGTCTCCCTGCTCCTTTGAGCAGGGAGCAAAGTGTTGCAAAGAGCTCCTTTGCAACACAGCTCTTCACAGGCTGCTGTCAGGGCCATGCATTCTGGTTTGTCCAGGCAGAGCTGGGTGGCCAGTCTTGGTGCCCTTCCAAGGACAGGCTAAATCCACCTGCTGGCAAACACCTCCATAGGTCAGGGAGGGTTCTATGATGTCTCCTAGCAAATGGAGGATTGCTAATGTTACGAGTCATGGTCACAGTGAGAGTTCTGCATGACAAAGTCAGGAGCCCTCCTGGATAATGGAGCCACTAAACAGCTTCTCCTCTGAGCTGTGTCACATAGCAGTGGGGTGCCCTTCCAATCCCTGGACACCGAGGCAGATTGTGCCCATTCTCCTATCCAGCCAAAGAGCCCAGCACGAGGACAGAAATGGGGGAAAAGCTGAAGAAGGGGAAAAAATAGAGGGATAGAGAAAAGACGTAGCAGAAAGACAGAGAGACCAGCACACAGGAATTGCAGAGAGGAAAGCAGAAGCCACCTGGATACTTCCTGTCTCAACTCTCACCTCCAGTAAGGTCAGGCAGTACCTGGAACCATTCATAAGTCACAAGAAGGAAGCAACAGCAAAAGACTTGAAAGAAGTCTTGTACTTGAAAGCACAAGACAAAAACCCTAAGACTCAAAGAGTTACCTTAGGGTGAGTTTTAGGGACTTGCCTTGTTCACAGGTAGATGCTTCCCTTTTATCAGAACTATGTGACTGGGGATATGTGGGTAGGTCTGAAGGTCTTGACTTCTGCCATTCACCCATTTTCCATTCTTTCACTCTAACCTAAGGTTGAGTGGACTTTCAAGAAGGAAATTCCTCC